GAAGATCCCACCATAACAGCACTTGCTGAAGTCATCGCTAGAGCGTGGCCTGACAAAAAGAAGGTATTGTATGACTCCCTCAACTGTTCTTCAATTACAGGGATGAACTCACAGTCCAAGATGAACTGATACTACAAAGACAAAGGATAGTCATCCCTCTCTTTATGCAACCTGAAATGAAACAGAAGGCACATGCTAGCCACCTTAATATAAAGATGTCTTTGAAAGGTGAGGGACTTGATCTTCTGGCCAAGTATGTCCAATTCAAATTCTGTGTAACCTATGCAAATCACCAGTCAGTGGAACCCCAAATTCTCACACCAGTGCCAGGAAGACCATGTCAAAAAGTAGTGGCCAACCTCCTATCATGGGGAGGGAAGAACTGATCATAGTTGATATACACAGCAATTTCTTTAAGATTGACAGGATCAACACATCTACATCGGAGTCAGTAATTGAATGTATGAAAGCACACTTTGCACACTATGGAATGCCAGAGACACTGACTTCTGGCAATAGGCCCCAGTTATTGTCACATGCCATCAAAATGTTTGCAAGGAAATGGCTATTCAAGCATGAGACTATCTTACCAGGAAACAGTCAAGCTAATGGTGTCATGGAAGTGAGAGTAAAAATTGGCAAATGCCTCCTATGGAAGTGCAGAGCTTCTGGAGAAAACCCATTTCTAGGGTTGCTGAATCTCCATAATGCGCCAACTGAAAAGGGCTCAACACGAGTCCAGCACAAAGATTCTTTGGCAGATAAATTATGTTGACTATTCCAGCAGAATTAAAACTAAAACCTTACTATCCATACTCTGCTGAAGAAGAAATAAGGCTTAAGCAGCATGACACTGGCAAAGAACTAACCTTGTTATAGGTGACAATGACCATATCCAGCCATCCAAGCCACATCCGAGAGAGTGGAGAGAGATGACAGTCACTGAATGACAGACTGGCAGGTCATATGACTGAAGAGGGACAGCAATATTGCCAAAACAGATGTTTTCTGCATCAGAACTCCAAATCAACACACTCATTTCCAGAATAGTGACAACACACATCAGTTGCTGTTCAAGGATAACTACATTTGGAAAGTCTCACACCACTGGTTGAGAATGAAACAAACCCCAACAAACACGGTCAAGTCCTTCCCATGTGTAACTTTGCTTATCAAAATACATAAAAAAATAAAATAAAAAAAAAAAAAAAAAAAAAAATGAATCACATTCTAAAAGTGTTGCATGTATAACCAACTCCTGACCTACTTACCTTCTCTTTTGTCTTCCCTATCTGTGTAGCTCTCCCATCATGGAGGGACACCCCTTCCTGTAATGTTGACTCGACAAAAAAGTCGTTATTGTGCCTAGCTCCATTCCCATTCCCATTTGTACTAACCAATATGTAACATAACAATAACAAGGAGATAATTCATTTCAGAGACACCTAGTAAGTTCACTGCAACATAGCTACATGGTTTATCTGGTAATGGCATGCTCCTTAATTCTCCTGGTGAAACATTTTTCCCTATTACCTGACCCGGGTAGCATTCTTTCACTTTCTTTTCAGTCATTTTGTCCATTTCAGGCCACCATACTTTGGATTTCAGACATGATGCACTATGCTTTGATGTCCTTCATGTACTAATTTAATTACCTGTTCCTTTAGAATGTCTGGGATGATGATTCTATTCCCATTCATAACAACCTGTCCAAAGTTCATCTTTGATAGCTTGAAATTCAGTGCCTTTGAAACAGGTCCAGTCATTTACTGATATTGCTTGGCAAATTTTGGACAATAGTCATCCTTTGATGCTTCTTCCACTTCTCAAGGAGATAATGCCTGAGGTACAGAGTCCTTGATGATACTATAGATTTAATCTGTAGTTTCTTTTGCTTCAACATTATCTGAATCATTGGTTGCTGGCTCAAGAGATCATTGCTGTTGGTCTTACCAGATGTGTGGGTGACTTGGTAAGTGAACTGCTGTGGGTATAACAACCATCCCTCCACTCTTGCTATTTTGAGGAAGATGATAAAACTTACACTAGTGCATTATGATCTGTCAGAATTTGGAAATCACTTCCAAGAATGTATAGTTGGAACTTTTTATATGCCCAAAATACTCCCAGGGCTTCTCATTCAAATTGGGAATAATGAGATTCTGTGGATGTGAATTTTCTGCTTGCACAAATAGGTTGGCTTCCAATATTGCACATAAACCTAAGGGTAAGACATCTGTTGTGATTCTGGTAGGCAAGTTGAGGTTGTAGTATGCCATCACTGGGGCTTTGATCAGTGCTTTTTTGACTGGGTCAAATGCTCTTTGACCTGCCACCCACCCACTCCATTTCCTTTTCGTCTTGTAAGACTTCAAAGAAAGAAAGTTATTGGGGGTACAAACTTTGTGCAAAATTGTGCTATCACAAAGAAACTGTGCACTTGTAAGGCATCTTTTGGTGGAGTTGTACTAACCACCACCTTTACCTTTTCATCAGAGATTTTTAAACCATCTCCTAACAATATATGTCCCAAGTATTTTATGGAAGTCATTTTGATTTGACATTTTTCCTTGTTGACAGGTTTATGGCCATATAGCATTGAAATGCTAGTTACCATATAATCACTGCTAGATCAATTACGACCGGAGTAGTAAGTTCAATCCTCACTGGGTGTCCCATGCTTTCAGCCATGTGCCACATCTGACTGAGCCGGGCTTAGAAAATCATTATAATCACTGAAGTTAAGCAACGCTGAGCCTGGTCAGTACCTAGATGAGTGATCACTTGGGAATACCAGATGCTGTAAGCTTAGATGTATGTGTGTGGTGTAATGGATTGGAGTGGATAATTGCTCAATTGTTAATCAGCGAGGTAAGTTACAATTTAAGTTGGGTTCATTATTGTTGTAACCTAGTGTTGGGGCCACCCACCTTCTCATCAGAATGAACTGATCTCTCTACTACTAATAGGACAGTTCTATAGAGTTCTAGGAGATCAGGTGACCATCACGCTTCCGTCTCTCTATTGGAAGATACAGTTGGACCTTATACTCTTTCTGATTGTTACTGACTAACCTGCGTTCGTTTGACTACTAATCTCTCTGTTGTAAATACCTCTTCAGATATACCAGTATTTTTCCCTACGTATGTGTTTGTCCTTATTTCAATACACGCACGGGGGTTTGGTAATGAACAATAACATTTAGGACATGAACAACACATATAAGATTCGCTAGCGACACGTAGAAGAAGTAATCAACTGCTAGAAGTGAGTCAAGTGAATTCCACAATGAATCTCTAACTGCAGACCAACATACAGTATTTACTACTGTATTTATGTGAATGGAGACATACCCATTATCATCTGTAAGTATGCTACAACAATTATATATACCCTTGAGAAAGCTATGAATCCACCTCTTCTCCCCATGGCTATGGGTTAATTTGTAAGATTCTTATCACGAAATCACTATTACCCACTTCTTATAATCTGAAAATATTTTGTCGCTTTAAATAACCTGTAAAGTGTTGATAAGCTGTAGAAAATGAATCAATCCTCATTGACAGTCAATTCTCGTTTGGCAATGCGTAGAATTACTTTGGTCAGCCTCAAGTCATGCACTTGTTCTGTGCTTCCAACTATTACCATGTCATCTGTCATGTATGCTCCTGGACACTCCTTAATGACTTGGCTCATTATTTGCGGAAACTTTTCTGTTTCATGTTCACTTTAAACAAGAGTCTTTTGTATCTGAAGAACCTCCTTGGCATGGCAAATGTAGTAATTTGGCTGAAATCAGGGTGTAGCTATATTTGATGGTAGATCATGTTGAGGTTGATCTTTGAGAAGAATTTTCTTCCTGACATTTCCTGGATTGTTTCATCTATTGTTGGCACAGGATGGTGCTCATGGGCAATAGCTTCATTAGCACTTCTCATGTCAATGCATCTCCTGACATCATGTTTTCCTTCTTCAGATATTTTTCTACTGTTACTAGTAACATTTAGCAGGTTCTGTGATTTTCTTGATTACTCTAGGTCCACTAGTTCTTGGAGTTTGTCAAGAACAAGCTGTCATCTGTCAAATGGAATTTTGCATACTGGTTAAACAACTAGGGGTAACCTTTGGATCTATCTTAAGTTTCACTTGATAGTCTCTGAGTTTAACCAGTTCTGTAAATACTCTTGAAAATTTTTTGCATAACTGTCCATACATCTATTTCAAAACAATGTAAGCATTAATGCCAACTTTTAAAAGTCCAAATTCTTTGCTGGTTTTACCACTAGGGAGAGGTGATTGTACTTGTGGTATAACAAAAAAAAAATGTAGCAGTGACAGATTGCTTAATCTGCACAATCAGTGTATATTTCCTTAAAAGCTAGCATAGGGGAGCTTTGTGGAGTTTAATTTCAGATCTGGCCTTTTTTAGCTGTTTAAAATTTTTGATTGAATGCATGTTGTGTTGCGCTCCTGACTCTATTACTAATAATACACTTTTGTTATTGAGGCACAGTTCTATTACATCTGCTCCAAATAACTTAAATAAGTGTTAGCCTTTGAGTCAGTGGTTTTCCTTTCCTCTACACTATGTTGGGTTCCTTCTCCATGACATAAGCTCCACAGCAACTTTGCCTGTCTATTGTAATGATATTGCCTACTCCTTCGTTCCGGGTTCCCGGAACGTCAATCTGTTTTTTATACATACAAACACGCATGCGCTTTGATCAATAAATATACGCCATGACAGTCCCTTATTCATAACTACACACGTGTTTGAGTTATTATATTTATCAATACACATCCATGCACTACACGGCATGACATGGTGGCAGCGAGACTGGATAATACACTAAACAACCCTACGGAATCACAGCACCAAAATAAAACAGTGAGTACAAACTGCAGTACATTATTTTCTTTAATCGTCCACGCTACACAAATTCTCGCTCGCTCACGCTACGCCGGGCTCACAACATAACCGCTACTAACAGGCAGATATCATGGCTACAGTGTCAATACAAGTGCCTAGTCTTGACTGGGGGTCGCCAAACATCGCCAAATCGTTCAACCTATTTCGACAATGCATGGAGCTTTACTTCACCGTCAAGGCAACAAAACACGAAGATAAGGTGCCGCTAATTCTCCTCGCAGCCGGCGAAGAAGGCCTACGCCGATACAACAGTTGGTCGATGACAGACGACGACCGCAAGGACCCACAAAAAATATTCTCTGCCTTCATGGAGCAGCTCGAACCGGCAACCAACCACCGCGTTTGTAGACTCGAACTCAGCAAATACCAACAAAAGCCAACTGAAACAACGGACATCTTCGTTAACAGATGCCGACTGCTAGCAAAGAAATGCGACTTCACTGCCAACGAAGTAAACGAACGCCTCGTTGAGTTACTAATTGCCAGCACGCCCATACCCGAACTACAAAAGGAACTGTTGAACAAACCAAAGGGTTACAAAATCGAAGAGGCTGTTAAATTAGCCCGTTCTCATGAAGCATCAGCAATATATGTCAACCAACTCCAGCAGCTACAGGGACCACCACAGATAGCCACAATAAACCATGGTACACACCAACAGCAAGGAAGTGACAGAAAATACGGACAGGTTTGCAAAAATTGTGGACGCAACCACCGTTTTGGCAAAGAACACTGCCGTGCCAAGAACGACACATGCAACACATGTGGCAAAGTAGGCCACTGGGCTACAGTCTGCATCTCAGGGAAACATAACACCAAGAGACGACAAGGGAAAACCTGGTCTAATGGTCGTAACCAGTCGAGACACCCACAACAGGAGTTTGGCAGGAAAGTCGACAGCGTCCGCCAAACAAAAAACGACCAAGTCATGACTGACATAGACACAGCGATGGAAAACCTCACCTTTAGCTCCATCGAAACCAACAGTGGAAATCATCAAATATGAAAGGCCCTCGAAATGAGGCATTTGTTGATTTAAGCATTAAGTTGGTGGACCACCCAGGCACTCATACTTTCAACCTGAAGGTAGATACAGGGGCTCAAGCAAACACACTGCCTATCCGCATATTCCTACCAGTATAGACAAAGCTGGAAATCCAATACCCGGATCACTCACCTCAACATCAATGCCTACTAACAGCCTACAACACAAAGATAAACTGTTATGGCACCACAAATATTAGGTGCAAATACAAGAACTCTCCATGGATGGATACCCAATTCTACGTGGTTGATGTTCCAGGAGCAGCCATATTGGGTCTGCCAACATCAGTATCACTTAAAGTAGTGACAATGAACTGTGCTATATCAGTCCAGCAACAACCCATCAACAGTGTAGCTAACCTAATGCGCCTCTACCCTGACAGATTCGACCATATTGGTGAATTTCGGAGGACTCACAAGCTTGCTGTTAACCCCAATGTGCCATGCCACATAGACCCACCGAGAAGGACACCTATAGCCATCTTGTGAAAAAATCAAAGCTGAGCTTGACAAGATGGAATCACAAGGAGTCATTCGCCGTATTGAAGAACCTACAAACTGGGTAAGCTCTCTTACATATGTCACCAAACGTGACAACACAATAAGAGTTTTGCCTAGACCCCACGAGCACTAAACAAAAGCTCTCATACGGCCATACCACCAAATTCCGACTGTCGAAGAGCTCAACCATCGATTTGCAGGAGCAAAATTCTTCTCAAAATTGGATGCTAAGTCTGGATACTGGTCCTTAAAGCTCGATCGCAAAAGCCAGCCACTAACAACTTTCCAAACGCCATTTGGGAGGTACTGTTTTGAACGACTTCCATTTGGTCTGAGTGTCAGTCAGGATATTTACCAACTTGAGATGGACAGGATACTCGAGAAGTGCACTGGAGCCTGTGGTATAGCTGACGATATCACCATATATGGGTCAACAGAACATGAACACGACAAAAACTTAAAAGCGCTTTAAGGAGGTCGCTACTCAAGAGGGCCTTACCCTCAACTCAGAGAAATGCAAGATTAAACGCCGAAATCTCCTTCTTTGGAAACCTGTATACACATACCGGATTGAAACCTGACCCAACAAAAGTACGTGACCTACAGGAGATGTCAGAACCACGTAACAAAACAGAATTACAACAGTTTTTAGGTGTGATGACATACCTATCTCGCTTCATCAAGGACTTCAGCTCCAAAACTACTGTGTTGCGTGACCTGTTACACAAGGACTCTGATTTTCAATGGGAACCACATCACCAGAAAGTTTTCAAAGATCTAAAGAGCGAAGTATCTGAAACATCTCTGCTCCACTATTTTGACCCCAAACTCCCAATTTACATGCACTGCGATGCGAGTATCTGAATAGGTGCAGCTCTGCTACAACCAGATGCAGATGGCAATCTATCGCCTGTTACATATGCTAGCAAGAGCTTAACACAAACGGAACAAAGATACGCATGTATCGAGCGTGAGCTACTGGCCATCGTATTTGGCACACAGAGATTCCACACATACCTTTATGGCCACAATTTCCAAGTCATCACCGACCATAAACCCCTTACAATGATTATCGACAAACCGCTCACCTCAGCCCGCACGCCTGCAACGGATGCTTATACAACTCCAGGGATACAACTTCAGGCTCACCTACAACAAGGGATCTGACAACATCTTGGCTGACGGACTATCACGCTTACCATCACCCGGTAATTCGGACCCTATCGAGCTTGATGTCCGGGTTGATACTGTCCGTTTCTCTAGTGATCGTATTGAACAACTGAGAAACTGCACAACAGCGGACCCTTTGCTTAACCAGCTGAGAGAGACCATCATCACTGGATGGCCAGAGACAATCAAGCAGCTGCCCACTGACATCAGAGTGTTCTGGGGTCTAAGAGACCAGCTCTCAATTGATGATGGTCTTATCCTCAAAGGACAACAAATCGTCATTCCCCAGACACTTCAAGAAGACATCCTAAAGCAGCTTCATACAGCTCACTTAGGACAGGAGAAAACAAAACTCCTCGCCAAGGACACGGTCTACTGGGTAAACATAAACAGAGACATCGAGCAGTTCACAAAGTCATGCAGCATCTGCCAACAGCATCAGCCATCCCAAATGCAAGAGCCCCTTATGCAACATGACATCCCAACAAAGCCATGGGACATAGTTGGCACAGACCTGTTTGATCTCCATGGAAGTCAATGGCTGATCATAGCCGACTATTACTCCAAGTACCCTGTAGTCAAACACCTACCTGCTCACTCACCAAGCAGTGTTATATTAAACACCACACGCCAAGTCTTTGCAGAGTTTGGCATACCATCAAAGGTAGTCAGTGACAATGGACCACACTTCTCAAATCACCTCTACCGTGAATTAAGCCAAAGAATGGGGTTTCCACCATGAGACCACTTCACCGGAGACCACAGGGAAATGGTTTCATAGAACGTCAGATAAGAACTGTCAAGAACATCCTCAAAAAAGCCAAGCAGTCGGGAACAATGCCTGAAATTGTGCTGCTGCACTGGCGCTTGTACTCAATTTCAAGCGTCATGCCAAGTCCTGCACAACTACTCATGGGTAGACGAATCCAATCTCCACTGATTACCAAAATCAGAAACGATCACCGAGATCAGGATCAAATATATAGTGCAATTCAACAACGCCAAGAAAACCAAAAGAGGTACTTCAACCGACATGCACTCAAGGAGGAACTACCACCCCTGTACCGTGGCCAAAGGGTAAGGGTACAAAACCCTATGTCTGGAAGCTGGGACCCAGCGACTGTAGTATCCCAGGCAGATGGTCACCGCTCCTATCTCCTGGAGAATGTCAATGGGTATGTGCTGTGAAGAAACCGCAACACATAAGAAGCATCCCAGTGGCGCCTGACTCACAACTGTCGCAAAGACGTCTAAAAACAGCCTCACAGAAATGTGTGACTTTTGTGGATCCACCTGTGTGTGCGATCCCAACCATGCCAAATAACCCTCAAAAGCGTACCCAGAGTGGTAGGATGGTGCGACCACCATCAAAGATGAACTTATGATGAACACATTCTCATAACCCCACAGCAAGCACTTAATGGGGCAGAATAATCCCCTGCTATGCTGTAGCTGTCCAGGTAGTCTACCCTGAACGAGCCTTTCTGTTTATTTATGTTTGTTTTATTTCAGAGACCCAGCATTACTATCCTTGTTTCGGAGAAAGGGGATGTAATGATATTGTTTACTCGCCGTTCCGGGTTCCCGGAACGTCAATCTGTTTTTTATACATACAAACATGCATGCGCTTTGATCAATAAATATACGCCATGACAGTCCCTTATTCATAACTACACACGTGTTCGAGTTATTATTTTTATCAATACACATCCATGCACTACACGGCATGACATCTATGACCTCTGTTGTGACTGCTTTTGTTTACTCTTGTCATTTGTATTTGTTTTTCCTTATGAAAACAAAACTTGTCAACAAAGTGAGCTTTTTTTTCTCCACAATGGCCACATCTGTGATGTTTACTTCGGATACATTCATGACCATAGTGTCCTTGAATTTCACATTTCTAACAAGTGGATGGCACTGTGGAGTTTGGCAGATTTATGGTTACTGCACATTTGGTTTGTTGGATCAAGGTTTCAAAATGAGAGCATCTTTTTAATGGTCACATAGTGATTTCAGCAAGGCATCCTAGTGTGAAATTATTTTCTTCCCAATATAATTTTGCTTTTAGATCAGGGTGTTTTATATGGAGAAGCACTTTATCTCTGACCAAGTTGTCTGAATCACCTTCAAAATTGCATAGCATCAGTAGTATCATGAGACGATTTATAAAGTTTTTCATTGTCTCTTTACCGAGTGTTTGGTTCAGTTTAAAAAAGTTTGTGTGGGTTTTTTGGGTATATTTTCCTTGAGAGCGAAATGCCAGTCAAAGAGTTGAAATGCTATCTGTTCTACCATCTTCAGGACTTGTTTCTTGCTCAGCTTTCTACTATTCTGTGACATTTTCCATATTTTCCTTCTCCTATTGTTAATGAATCTTTTTTGTTCTGCGTTTGTTTTGACTTTTGAGACACCTGAAGCTATACTAAATCTTTAAATTCACTTTCCAGTTTTTCCATATCTGATGCAAAGATTCCGGTTCGCCAACTGTATCCAGTTGTTGGGGTTGTGACAAATCACCCTGTGCAAAAGCTCTGGATATTATTTTTTTGAAAAACTTTTTTTTTTTTAGTTAGTGTGTGTGACCGTAGTCTTAGCACTATATTTCCAGACTTGGAAGGCTGCTACTTATTTTATTTCCGTGATGTAGCTGTTTAATATTAGCGACTAAGTCTTTCAAGATGACAGGAATGTAACAGTTAATCACTTACTTGAATGGTGGTATTAATTTCCGTTTTCTACGTCAACCACGTGTTTGTAATTTGCGAGGCGCCGGTATGCGGTTTTCCCAGTAAGTTTGTATATTAGGAAAATAAAATTTTCCAAAACTTTTTTGTTGTATATCCGGAGCCATATTGCATCACCCTCGTCGCCAGATGTAATGAACAACGCCAGGTGACGATTAACAATAGATTTTATTTAGGAATATACAAATATAAATAACGTGTCCGCCATGTTGTTAGTTGTGTTATTTACTTCTCGTTTCCTATGAGAGTCTTCTGATCTCGCTCCATCGAGAGTTCGACTATATATTCATTGACATTCAAACTCAAACAGTTCTTCAGACAAAATAACATTTTTTCCGGATATAAATCAGATAAGGGAAGAACAAAAAACATTCGCTGTATTTTTATTAGTTGCTAGTAGTGTATATTCTTTTTAATTTTATAATTATGAACAAAAATTGTTTATTTTTTTATCAACACTTGCAACGCTAACCATAACTATATTATAAAAATCCAACCTTGACCATAAAAATTTTTGATGATCAAGTTTGCTTTCGTTTGTTTGTTAATACGGTAGCAGACAGTGTGAGTCGGAGTTATTTGTTACCTCCCTTTGGTAAAGTCAGTGAACAAGTAACAAAGTAAAGAGCTAAAGGAGAAGAAACTGTGGAGAGTCATGATCACCTACGTCTGGAAGGGACACGACACGATACGTAAAAGAAGAACAATCTTTTACCAAACAATTTTGGTATGCTTTTGAATATTTACTATATAGGTGGGGCGGTGAAAAAATTTTCCGTGTGAAAGTGGGTGGGTGGATGATGATGCAAATGGGAACTCCTGGGTTAAGTAAGTGTTCTGAGGGTAATGAAGGTGGATTGGGAGAGAGGGATATCAAGAGCTTTGTTTATCACTGGAAGTAGTTAGAGGGAGGTGGTGAGAGGGTAATGAGGGGAAAATATATAGCGAGAAGAATTTCGGGAGCGTTGTTTATCACTCAAACAGCCAGTAAAGTAGTTACAGAATTAGTGCCGGCGTGTTTTGTAAACAGTCACCTCCAGTCCTAACAACATGGAGTTGCACGCATCAACAGAACCACAGGAATATCCAGCCAATTCATCTGCCAACCACGAACAAGACGACATACAGGCAGACACGTGTACCCGTACAGACACAACATCTGTCTTCAGGGATGTTTTCTACACGGACACGTTCAACACTTTTGAAGAATTTGACTTCTTTTTCAAGAAATATCAGAATCAGACGGGGTCCGTGTTTCGAGTGAAGTCTTCTAGCTCTGTTATCAGTGAAAATAAGCGTCGTCAGCAGCAAATCCCTATCAAACTGAAGTACGGCTCTGTCTCATTCGTGTGTGTACACTACGGCAGTCCGAAACGAAAAGGACTGGGCATAAGACAAAAACAGCGATATCTTCCAAGTGGCTGTAACGTGTTAGTGGCATTAACCGCAAGAAAAAACAAGCTGGTTATCACAAAGACTTCTCTACAGCATAATCATGAGGTCAGTATAGCGTTACAACCCTTCTATAGCCAGAAACGCAGACTCACAAGTTCGGAGATGGAAGACGTAGAGGATGTAGTGAAACTTAACACAGACAACAAACAATTAAAATCATTCCTCCAGGGTAAATACCATAAAGCAATAACCATGCAAGATGTACGAAACCTGAAGCGGAAAGTGAAAAGTGGGGAAAAAATGTCAGGCATCGGTAAGTTGGCAGAAATAGTGGATGCAGGAAAAGTAAAGTAGGGCTATCCAAATGATTGCATTTACTACTTGCTCATAAAGGAGATGATAAGTATACTGTAAATATCCATAATTAATTTTCAGGGATGGAACTTACCAAATCAACAGATATAATTGGAATAAACGTGTTTTTATAAAAAATACCTTTTAATTTTAATATGAAATAAATGTTAAGAGCTTCCTTTTCTGTCTGGCGACAACCCCTTTGAAGTAATTTTTATGACTCTTTTTGTATTTAAATTGAATATATTTTCTAATAAATAAATGTATTTTAAATGGATAAACAATTTAGATTTTAAATTTGGCAGGTACTGATCTAGTTTAGATAAAATTTACCTGTTTTAAACTGCTGAATTATTTTACCAGTGAGACAAAGTTGTATTAATCAAACTCAGTCAAATTGTGTGTATGCATGTGCTTGTGTGTGGTGTACATTAAAAAACAACAAGCACATGTAAGTCAAACATATGCAACATAGACATACATATATACTACCTTGTATATATGTATATGCAAAGTTATGCAGTGTGTGACTGATAGAATCAACTCTTATAATATAGATTTTTATATCCAACTTTCTTGATAACAGATAAGTTGAGCCTAATTACTCTGATAACAACACTTTTGACCTTGTGCTGTACAAAGCTAAACTTTGTAAATATCTATATAGGATACACAAAGCAGTGTGTGAGAAGGACGGTTATTCCCTTGACATTGCTATTGCTGTATACACTTTTGATTCCCTCGGCAATGTTTATTGTTTTTAAAAAGTGATGATTGAAATTTTAATAAAACCCAAATATATAAAAATGGATTTATATATTTTCTTTATTCTTGATAACTGACAATAAATATATTAAACATTATTTATTAAACTGAATAAAAAAAAATGTTTTCATTGTTATTTATAAAATGGTGAGTAATAAATATAGTATTGTAGTTGGTTTACATATTTTGATAATTTTGTAAATTCTATAAAGTTTTGAATAAAAACATTTTTTTTCCAATTTATTTCTTTATTAAATGGTAAATAATAAACTTTTATAAAAGTTAAATAGTAAATATTGCATTGTACTTGGTTCTTATATTTTTATAATTTTGTAAATAAACATTACCGAGGGAGTCAAAAGTGTATACAGTAAAAGCAGTGGCAGTGGAATAACCACTTTTTTGACACACTGTTTTATGTTTTGTTTCAGGCACATAGGTTAAGCATTGTCAAAAATTTGATAACATTTTCTGATGTTTGTTTTAGAAGTGAAAGCATACAAGAAAGTACATGTTTATGTGTACATGATTTTTTTAATGTATTTATCAAAGTTTGCAAGTTTTCTTCCAGTTAATGAAAGTAAAAAGCAATGTTCCTTTTCATTTTTTTTTTTTTTTTCATGGTTTGTATAGGACCAAAAACTTATGAGAAACTGAAGAAGTAAAATGCACAGAAATTCATCTTTGGAGTTTATTCAGAATCTCTGTATATTTAGAGATTCTTGATAAAATCCAAAGAATCTGCAATGTTGTTGGTCCTGACCTGGCATCTCAGTTTCACTCACTTTCCCACTGCTGTAACATATCTTCCCTGTGCTTTTTCTATAAATACTTTCATGGTAATTGTTCTGATGAACTTTCCTGTATGGTACCAAGACTATGAATTTAAACGTGGTACTTGATTGGCATCATTTTACAGGTGAAATGGCTAGATGTAACTATAAGTTCTAGGCTAGCAGTTTTTTCTCTTGCACTTCTTGCATGGAACTCTCTTCCAGCTTCTTCCTTCCCAGTCAACTTTGATCTTCAAAAATTTAAATGCAATGTCAATTGTTATTTTCTGCCTTTTTAATTCTTGTTCTTTTCTTGTTCTCTTTTCTTAATAGTGTTTTATTTTTTATTATTAGATTCTTTAACACTCAGTAATCCTTTGCATCTTAGCGGCTTTATTGCCTTATTATTTTTACTTTTGAGCTGATCATTGAAAAGTTAGTTACTTATGACAAAAAGTGTATAAGAAAAGAAAAGATTTATTTAGTGTTCACTTTTTTCTTTAATAGTTATTCATTTCAATAATTATAAGTAGGTCTAAACTAAGGATTGTTGAACATAGGTATTATATTTTATATAAGGATTCTCAAAATTAAAAAAAAAAAAAACTTCAAATTACTTTTACAAAAATATCTCCTTGGTTGAATGTTTATAAGGGAATAAATTGAATTTTTTATGTGAAACTTTCAAAATTTAGGTGCAGCATTAAAATTTTATTGAACATTTTTTTAATGTGCAACCATGCAACTTAGAAGTGTTCTTTCAGCAGATTGCCATTGAGTAAAACAGTTCTCATTCAATCACTGATGTTAAGTGGTGCTGAGACTGGTCAGTACTTAGATGGGGGACTGCTTGAGAACACCAGGTACTATAAGGAACCTCCTACAATCGAAAATGTGTTTTGGTTGATAAACCATAAGAAAACAAACAAATCAATCAAATCAACTGCTTGCATATAAATCTGCCTTTATCGTAATCTTATATCACAGAAATTGATAATTTTAATTTTAAAATCTTCATAATAGCAATTTTATTTTAATAATCTTAACTCTCACAATAAATTTGTCCAGAAATAATTGGACATTGTCCACTGACTTAAAAATAAAAATAAATCCTCATTTTGTTTTATAGGGAAACCTTCCACCCTTTATGAAACTTCAAGTCCTGATTGGGCACCCACATTGCGCCTTGGACATGATAAAGACAAAAATTCAAGCCGAAAAGTGAGACGCAAGAGGAAAGTTTTGGCTGATTCCACAGACTCTATACCACCATTGTCTGCATGTAATCCTGACCTGCAATTATGTACACCTTTTCTTAATATACCACTTGAACCTTACAACCGTGGTGTCTACAAGCCTTTAGAAAGTAAAGAAGCCATGGATCTACTCTGGCTCCCTGATGAGATATTCCTTAACAAACCCCCTTGCCAACCAGCTAATGGAGAAATCTATCTCTTGAAAATTGGCCCCTTGCAAGAATCTGGAGAATGGAAAAAAGATGGTTATGAATGGCTTAAGCGTGGCTCATCTGTCCTGACAATAAACCGAAATCCCGCTTTAAGGAAATTTACATTTTGTCTATCTGTGAAAAACAGGCAGGATGGTCTCTCTCAGAAACATGTTTATCGGCTTTTTAGTAACAATAGAAAATTTGTCATTCATTACCTTGGGGGTGATGAGCGTCAGACCAGTTATCAGCAGTCTGCAGACATTAATGATGTACCAGCATCACAGTCAATTTCTGGAAGACCCCAATATTACTGTCAATTGGGCAATGATACTCAGCAAACAGACAGCAGCATTTATTGGGATCTTGCAAGTGGAACCAATGACAAACAATTGGTAAACAAATTTCTATCTTCCTTTTTTGTGTATTGGGTTGTCAGATAAATTTTTTTGTTTCTTTTAGTGTTATTTGAATTAACAGGCAAAATATTTTAACATTATTTTTAAATTATTGACTGATTTGTTGATGAATAATAGGATTAAAATAAAATAAATGGAAATGATGAATAAATTTATCTGAAAACCCAATAAAATATAATTAGTTTCTATTTGTCCATGATTTTACTTAATGATTCTTTGATCAGTCTGGGTGATTTATCTGCCCATTACTCAGGCATCCATATGAGGAAGCTCAGAAAAACTGTATTTCTTATGAACAGAACTACTCAGTATTATGTTGGTTTTATTTATTTTTTTTTTAAATGGGGAAATGATAAATTTACTTTTGAAATGAACTGACATTATAGCATAAAAATATTAGAACATGTACATAAAAAAATTCTTTTCTTTTATACATTTAAGATAATTCAACTCTAGTAAATGCTGGCTTATGGCCATATCACATCGAAACACCGGTTCTTGTACAATCACCAAAGTTAAGCAACGTCAGTGCCTAGATGGGTTACCACTTGGGAATACCAGGTGCTGTAAGCTTGGATGTGTGGGTAGTGTAATGGATAACAGCTCAGAATTGAAAATCGGAGGGCCAAGTTCCAATTCCAGTCGGGTTCGTTATATTCACTTATGCACAAATACTCTTAGGAAAGATATGAATCCACCTCTTCTCTCCCTAGCTATGGGTTAATTAGTGGGACATATCAATAAATCATTATCTCCAAAGATTTTACAATCTAAAAATATTTTCTGCAAAAGGTTGATATGCCATAAAAACAAACAAGTCAATCAATCAGTATTGTACGACACCTTTCTGTAGTCTTTAATCCTTTACAGGATTGTCAGGACATACAAGTGGTGTAGGGGGCTTGGAATGAGGAATCGAAGAGCTGAGTTCAAATTCCAGTCGGGTTCATTACATTCACTTACACACAAATACACTTGGGAAAGGTATGAAGCCACTTCCTTCCCCAGCTGTGGGTTAAATAGTAGGACTTGTATCTGGAAAAATCATTATTATTCTCAAAAAATTGTTAATGCAATATTCACTCACAAAAAAAAGAATTATTCTTACAATCCAAATTATGTTTTGGTTTTAAATAACCTGCAGAGGGTTGATAAGTCATAAAGAAAAAATAAATCAATCAACAATTATGTTAGTCATATGATCTTGCTTTTCATTTAGCTAATGATACCTTGAGATAATATAATGTTTACCCCTAGTGAAATCTAAGTCTGTTGTGAAAAGAAAGAATAAAAAAAAAAACACATCAGTTTATTTACATTATTTAGATGTGGACTATTATCCTTATCTTTGTTGTTGTTATCACAACATTTTGGCTATTGCGCACTCCAGCCTTCATCAGGTGCTTGTCAATCTGGGTAACCTCCAGGGAATTTCAAATTGGCACATTTATTTAATCTATGTGGTGGGAGGTAGATTGCACTTGTTTCACATATTTAGTTCTTATTTAGTAGTGCTTGGTTATTGCCCTGTTACCACTGAGTTCAAATGCACACTGCCTTGCCCAGCAATTGAACTCACAATGTCAGCAAATTCACAAATCAACACTTTTATCCACTAATCTGCATATGATAACTCCTTGTCCCAGAAATTCAGATCAAGTGTATTTATGGAAACTTTTTGTAAATAATGACTAAAAATTAACTTTTTCTTTGTTTTAATTACATTATATATACATCAACAGAGAAGAAAAGATGTCTTAGCATAATGGTCAGAAAGATAGTTTGATTGATCATGGCTACTGAATAGTGGGATCAATCCACATGGTTTTGGCCTTCTATCAGACTAACCTAAGTTTAGTACATATAACAAGACTGTGAATAAAGGTAAATAACTCTGATATTATTGTGGGAGATGTTACTTAGTGGATACAAGTTAAAATAAAATTTTTGTTTTTTCTTTATAGCAACAATTTCATCAGAACTCAACATAATTATTATGAATCAAAAAGCATATGTTCCAAGTTTCAGCCCAAGCTTTTTTTGCACTTCATTGTTGGATACACACATGCACGCATGCATCTATACATGCACATGTTATTTAAAAGATATTGACTTGAAATACATAAATTTTAAATAGTTATTAGATTTTATAAAAAAATTAAAACAGTGAGCTATTTTTCAGATTTATTGTGTGTGTATATATATATATATATATATGATCCAACATGCTTTAACTGACTTGGCTACAAAGAGTCTCATGATTAAGCCTTTAAGAATATCTCTCTCATTTAGATTTCCAAAAGTTTCATATACAAAACATAAACAAACCAATTTTTAAAGAAATAATGAATTTTTATTTATTAATACAGCATATTTTTATCACTTTAAATGTTATTTTTAGTGGATACTCTTAATGGAGTAGATGCTCTGTTTATTTTAAATTGTGAATGAGTCATGGGAATGTGTACAAGCAGTGTTATCAAATGATATATGTATGTATACATACATACACACACAAGTAAGGGTTTAGTTTTACACACACACACACACACATATATATATATATATATATATATATATATATATATATATATATATATATACAATCTCTTGTAAATTGAATTAAAAGCCACTTCACTCATTTTCACTTTAAAACTTAATTTTTCTCAAAATGCAAAAATTTCCAATGAAATTAAGGTCATTTTAGGATAAAGATCAATCTATTTTCTCATGAAAATACATTGCTTCTTTAAATTAACTCTTAAATGAAAAATTTTAATAGGATGTATTCACAATACGTTAAACAATTTTTAAAATCCCTGAGTTAGTATAAAAGATTATTCAACCATATAACTTTCAAAGGGAATCTCAAATTAATCAGTTACTAATTATCATAACTATTTTTTCACTGCAGCAAACACATGTAATTCCAGAGACAATGTCCAGTGAAGAAGGAAATGAATTGGTCAGTATTGAACTAAATAATCATGACCAGCAAAGAATCAACCATTCATTTACTCTTAACAAAGTACGTGGCCACAAGCGGTCAGCTAGTGAAACAAACCATCAACAGCCACGTCGAATGTTCCCAGAGGTCATCCCCTTGCAGTTACCAGTTGAAGAAATGACCTCTAATTCTGTAGCATCAGAAGGAGTTGATATACATTCCCAAAGAATTTCAAGGGAACTCCAAGAACAAAGAAGAGGAAAAACAAACATTTCTGCAGGAAATAATGATTCCATAATTATTGACGAACATGATTCAATGCCTTCCTTGGCAAAAATGCCCAGAATAGAAGCTAGCATTATATCGTGAGTATTAACTATATCCAAAATGATAAAAAATAATGGGTATGTAACAAAAAAAGTGTTTTTGAGTTTTAAATACCAACAATGATGCTTCTCTCTCGTTTATAAATTTCCATTCCAAATTATAAGGTTGAGTCATAAGTAATTTCTGTTTCTGAGAACCAGTTGTAATGATGAATGTATCATACTAACTACTAATCATATAGCGATTTACTAGGCATAGCTTAGATGTAGCACAAGGCCAAAAGCAGAGAGCACTCTCTGAGAATCGAACTCACTATTTGATTGTAATTGAGACAAGCCTCCTAACCATTACACAACATTGAAGTGTCCCACTACTAATCATGCACGGCAGTTAATAAATTTGAGGTACACTCACATATCTTAGCTATTGCACAGAAGTGGTAGCATACACAGTGGATTAAAGGGAAAAATGTTGTTCTTTGCCATGACAATGGAAGGCTATATATAGCAAGTATAACACAGGAAAAATTTTGAAAAAAGGTTGGTTTGTCCCACTCCACTTGCCATATTCACCTGACCTTGCACCAACTAATTATTACCTTTTTTGATAATGGCAAAATGCTTTGATGGGGAAAACTTTTTCTAATGAAAACTAGATTCAAGAGTTTGTGGAAAGATTTTACAATCAAAACCTGCAGAATTGTAACAAATACATATCAAAGAACTGCTTGATAAATGACAACAAATCATTGCAAATAATAGTGAATATATAAAATATAATTGTACTTTATTTTTTGAAGAATAAAGTTAATAAACAAAACAGAAATCATCTATGACTCAACCTAATATTTTATTATCTTGTGATCATTGAGTGATACAGCTAAGGACATTATTGCCATGTATTGTGCCTAGTCATAAAGTAGAAGTTAACAGATTCATTTTGTTGCTCATTACTACTTTATAATTAGTCTGATCCTCTCTGGAACCCCAATACTTGTGGTCATGCAAACAATTGCCAGGCTAGGTGGGTTAACTAGAAGAAAAATACATCAATCAAAATTTAGTAGCACAAGGCTGACAATTGTTGCCCAATTCACTATTTATAGGCCAATCTGGCAAGCCTGGCCCAAATTAATCTTATCTTATAACCATTGCCATGTGTTACCTAATTTATGCAATTACTGAAACTTAAAAAATCAAGTAGTACATATTAAAATTTCCCCTATATTTGTTCAGAAGACTCTTTGGATATTTTATTTTTCATGGTAGTAAAATCTAAAATTTTATAATTACCATATTTTAATTTTACTGGAATGTCTTGACTGACCTTTTTGCAGTAATAATAGATTTATCTGAGAGTTAGTGACATCTTGACATTTTATAAGCAAGTAGAGAGAAATAGAATATTATTTTTTTTATAGTGATTGTTAGAATAATAGAATAGCCTTTATTCTGTTTTTTATTCTGACTTTCATTGAGGTATAAAATTTCTAACCACTTAACCTTCAGTCTTATGTTCTAAAGCTACACATTCATTGGTATAGTTTGAAACCGCAATTAAAACATTATTTGTGATATCTTATTTTGTTGCCTGGTATTGGTGAGTTTTTTCGTTAAGTTTTGCATAAAACACTTATTTTTTTTGCATTAATATCCAGAAAACTTAAAATGATTATGTATTTTAGTACATCATTTTACTTACAATTATTGCCATATAATACAAACAATAGTCAGTAGATTATTTAAACACTTGGATTATTTCATATACATAGTATATATATTTCTGATAAATATTTATAAGAAATGTTTATTGAAACATATTAAAAGCAGACATATTTACAAATATTTAAAAATAAATTAAAAGAAGATATTTTATTGATATACTAACTGTTATTATGTTACAGTTGTTGATTTTACTGCTTTTCTCTACTGCCCTGGTGTCTTTTCTCTTAATGTCTTCACTGGAACTATCAACTTTCTATCTGTTGAAGTCTGTGCTGCAAGACATTGAAGTGTCTTTGACTTGCTAAATTTCCTTTGTAGCTTATAAAATATTGCTTTCTGTAAAGTACTCCATTTAGTTTTGGGCCTATTTCAGGGCACTTTGTGTTTAGGACAGTAAATATCAGTATCAAGAGAAAACAGGATAACACAGAAGTATTCAAATCTTAGATCTTTTTAATGTTGTCTACCACTATTATGCACAAAATGGCTGCATGAGCCCTCTAACAGTTTTGTGACATTGAGGAATTGTAAATGGATTCAGGAAAAATAGAAAATATGACACTAGTTTCCTTTTCTGATGTTTTATTTGTGACTTTTCCAGACATGTTCCTATGAATGAAGTGAGATTCCAATCCCAGCCTTTCATTGCTGCTTCTGAAAAGGAAAAACGGACACTTGTAGTCCCCAATCATCAAGTATCTGTTATGTCTAACATGTTCTCCTTGTGGAAGACTGGACGTCTATGTGACACGTACATCAGTAATGGGACCACTAATATTCTGGTGAGAAATTTCATTTCCAGATTCTATTTTCCAACCCTTTTCTATACAAATGCCTGTCTTTAATCCTAAAAGTTTATACTTGCGACATTTTTAATGAAATGTTGCTTGTTGAATTAGTGAAATATTGTATTTGAAATTAGCTTTCCTTTTTTTATTTGTGTCAAGTTTGTGTGAATTGGTGCTGAATATTACTATTATTTTAAATATGTCAGTATTCTTCAGATAAATTTCAAATAACAGATGAGCAAAAGTTATTTTTGGTCATCATAAAAAAATACAAGAAAAAAGAATTGAAAAAAGAAAATTGAAGTAAAACAGCAGAAAAAACTGCTAGAAAAAAAGAATTGTTTGTAAGTGAGGCAGCAGAATAAAATGGTAAGAAAGGAAGAATTGTTTGTAGATTAGACAGTAAACTTCTTTTTTATTATTTTGTAGTGGAACTATAATTTGTCATGGAGTTATGCTTAACAAACTCTTCTTATAGACTATTACTATTGCAGTGAGTTAATTCCTCACCGGTGTGATCGTAAAAAAGACTAAACTAAGCTCAGTCAGTATTTCCTCTGTCCTATAATAATTGTTACATTTAGTGTATGAAATGTGTATACAAATGTAACAATCATTATGGGACAGAGGTAGGATCTATTTCGCATTATAAAATAGAGGATAAAAAATGGCAAGGCAAAGCAAATGACAATAACACACTCCCTACCCAAAAATTGTTGCAGTTGACAAAAGTTATACTTAAATGAAAGTAATTTGAAAAGAAAGGAAGATGACTTGTCTAGGACTTTTATTTAATTTTTCAAAGAATAAAAAAGAAGCTTTTTCTTTTTTACGTATTAAAGAAAATTGCACTTGTGTTTTAAATGAAGGGCTTTTATCAATATATATCTATTTGTAATACAAATGTTACTCATCAAATGCTGAAGTTTTTTGTTTGTATTATTTCTTGAAGATCTATTTACATATATAATGTTGCAATCACTTCCTGCAATAACAAATACTTACTAAATCTAATCTGGCACATGGTTACAATAGCAAGGCACCCAGTGAGAAACACAATAACATGTGAGGCTAACCATTATTACAAATTAAATATATGTTCTTCAGTAATATATTTATTAGTCTCACTATCTTCAGTACATTATTATAAAAATTACCTGCAATTAGATATATGAAAAAGTATCCAGCATTTTCTTATTAAAGAAAATAAAGTTTTCTACTTTGAATTCAGTCTCTAGTTTTCAAAAAGAGGGCACATACACTTAATATATTGTTTGCATATTTATTATTATTGTTGTTGTTTGGATTATGTTGAATTGTGTTTTTATAACTTATTCAGTTTTCTATGACAGTTATATTTTTGATGTATTCTTTTTTCTCTTATTTTGGCTTCATTTGTAGATCCACAAGATGGTTCTTGGAGCTGTTTGCCCAAAAGTCTTATCTGTCCTGTACAGTACTCCAAGCAATGTGTTTTCTAAAGTGACCTTCCCCAGTTCTATAAGCAAAGAAGCCCTTTTGGCCTTTGCAGAATACATGTACAGTGGTGTATTAAACTTAGATGAAGACATTCTTTCACAACTAAAAATCATTGCCCAGCGACTGGACATGAAAGACTTTGAGCAGCTGTGTAGCAATGAACTCCAAAAAGTCAGGATAACCTCTCTTCTGTCTACCATAATGGAACCGATTCTTTTGGAGCCAGCTTCTCTTTCTGGGCTGCTGTCAAACAATAAGCAAAAAGCAGCACCAACAAATGAAATCCAGCCAGCAGATTTAAGCCCTCTTTTAAAGCTGCTAGAAAACTCTCACTACTCAGCTAGATCTCAGTTGCCTGGATCTAAGCCCACACCTGCGACAACAGTTGCTACAAGTTGCTCTTCAACATTAGTGTCCCGAGATACACAAAGATCCATGATTCCAACAACTGGGGATTCAGAAGTGAATATTAAATCGGAAGATGATGACAATGGCTGTATTGAAATAATGCCAATTGAAAACAATCAACTGAAAGTAGAACCAAGTGGTCCTGATGACAATCGCTATGGAATCCATGAAGATTTATTCATGCAGTTTAACAACATCTCTTCCAATGTGATTAATGATTCCCATCTTACATCCTCAACAGTTGACCCCAGTACTATTGATACTACCAATGGTATCAATAAGGATGATAACGGTGATGGCAATGATGGAGAATTGACATTTGGTTATTCTTCTGGTCAGTCTATAAATCCCTCTTCACCAGAGATAGTTAACATTTCTGATCTGAATGAAGCACAATTGCCTAAAATTACAACCAGTAACCATGATAACTCTGAAAACAAAACCAAATCTCAGTTGGTTGATGATGATGAATTAGACCTTGTACCAATCAGTTCTATAACTCACAACCAAGCTACCTCAGATTCATCACATGTAAATAACAGAGACAGTCTTAGTTACAGTACAGATTTAGTTAGTGTTACAAATGATAATAGTCTGATTACAATTCAAGAATCAAATTCACTTACCAGCAGTCGGACTCCATATCCAGTCGGCCTTTTTGTTGCTAGTAGAAACAAACTACCACAGACTTCTCAAGAAAATGTTTGAAACTAAACAAAGTGTCTTAAGTGAATAAACTATGTATTAAGACTTTGTATTTGCAGGATGGAAATACAATTAAATTTTTTTTTACTTTTGTGTCTATATATATATATATGTGCAGGTGATGTAGAGTTTTGTATTATCCCTGGCTTCAATTCTGCTACATCTTAGACTGCATAAGTGATGGACTAAAATTCTTTTTTATCTTACTTTATGAGGACAGTAGTTGTGGTATTGTTTCTAGGAGAAAGCAAGAGGGAGAGGAAGATGATAAATGGGGTGCATGTCAACTGGTTGCCCCAAATCTTGTTGCCACATGCTCACTAGCTTCACTAAGAAATCTGAGTGCAAGGAGGCATCTTGAGCCTTCTAATTCTTGAAGCTATCTCTTAGTCTTTGCACTATTTTGGTTTTATATCAAAACTTAGACAAAGACAATCCATCACTATCAGAATTCCTTGCCCATGAGGTCTTTTGACCAGTAATTTGCCATTCTGGGCTAGTCTACTCATTCTGCAACATTGATGTAAGAGTTAACAACACAGAAAAAGGCATCAATGATCTATGTTCAAATTCTAGCTGAAAGTTTGGGATCACTTCATACTAATGCTCTTGGTAAATGTATGATTCTCTCTCTTCCTCTATCTTCCAGCTATGGGTAAATATTAGGGAAGAGTGGAATCTTTAGCCTTGGTTGGTAACCAGTCTAGGAGAAATACAACTCTGAAATAAAAAATCAGGATTAGATTCCACTCTTCCTCTCAGCTATGGGTAAAAATAATAAATGGTATCAGTTGGGGGCTTTAATCTTTCCCTGAAAACACTACTTGTTAAAATATGATCAGCATGCAAGCTGAAGATTCAATCAGATCTAGGATATATATATATACACACACACACTTAGTAATATTAATGAGCTTTTATAAAATACAAAGACATTATTTATGTCCTAATTTTTTAGATTAGGAATTATAATTAAATTTACATTCAGACTCATCTTAGTATACTCAAAACATTTCAGCAGTTGTACTCTTCAGCCTCCTTCACATGTCTGCCAGACTTGGTCAGTAACCTCAGAAGTTTCTGATTTATAAGGAAGAAAAATTCCACCTTCTTTTCTCCCTTCCACTCTAGGCTCCAAAATTTCACTACTAGATTATCTAAAAAGCACATGGTCTAGTGGATTAAAGCATTAGTTAAAACATATCTAGTACTCTGGTAGTTGTGATTTCAATCTCTGGGTTGGGTAGTGTACAAAAGTTATATTCTCTGGTTCAGTAAAAGAAAACACAAACAGCCAAATAGACTGGAAAGTAATGACTAATACAAAGAAATTCCTTAAGCATATAAGTAGTGTCTCTTATTCTGTAACCCTCTACCTTGTGTGGCATTTAGGCCTTGTAAAAAGAAAAAAGGTATATTGTTAAGTTCAAAATTCTGAAAGATTACCAAATACAACAGGCACCTGTTGAAGGCTGGAAGGTACAATGACTGAAACATTACCATAACAACCAAGATGAGTTTCATGCATAATGATGAAAACATTATTTAGTTGTTCAAGAATAAATTTAGTAAATGATACAATGATTCATCAGTAACATTTTTTTTACGTAATTTTATTTATATCTGGTTTCCATTTTGGTAAATTAGAAAAAACAAAATAATAATAAGATAAAGAAAGTATTCTGACTTTAATTGTGTATATTATTTTGTTAATATGAAAACTCCAGTGAGGCTTAATACCGAGAATAAATTGACAGTAAGGGAGATAACTCTTCTAAAACATAACCAACTCTCTGTCCCCCGGCAATTTAAAAAAATGTGAAGCGGCACATTGATTACAGAAAATTAGCCGCGGGTTGCATGATTAAATTAGTGAGTATGAGTGAGATAGTAAGAGATATATAGGGGGGGATGACAAGAATTTTTTTTACAGAAAGTTAAAAGGATTAATTAGATGCAAAAACTGAATTTTTCATACACAATCATTCAACAAATTTATTCTGATTAACATAAAAATTGACTCTGGAAAACTCCTCACAGGTCACACTGGGTTGTCATGTGGACCATATTTTCTGTAGGCTTGATATAGAATATTAATATGTTTGTAGTGATGTTAGTTTGGCACTGTTTATGCCTTGTCAAATTTAGATCTGTTGATGTGGGGTAAATCACATAAAATGTCATAAAATGACATTAGTTAGGCTTGTTGTAATGTCTTATTTATGGTTGGAGTTAAATATTCAAGCTCCAAAACTGTCTTTAATTTTATGGCTAAATTAGAAAATGTAGCAAAGCAGGTTTCCTTATTTACAGAAACTGATATTAATATTACTTCTGCTTTATTTTTTTACTAGTATATTGTTGGCAATTTAAGATTTAAAGATAAAAACTTAATTTCAGATTCAAAGATAAAACTTTTGGATAAAAGTTGAAGGAAGGTAATATTTTGTTTTCAGCAGACTTAGTAATTGTAAAGTCAAGTACTTTGAAATTAGGTCAGTGAAAATTACCTTAGCAGACTGGAATTCTAAATGAGAACTCAGTATAGCAGATCAGTTATAAATATTTACCAAACTTGTTTTGTCTTAGTATCAAGTTAGTGAGATATATGCCAAACTTCATTATTTGCAAAAGAATATTATTCAAGAAAACAAGTTTTATCATTTAAAGCATTAAAGGTGCAACTTTGAGAAATGATTCTCAATCAAACATAAAAACATGTATGACAGTTCATGAAAGTTTATCAACATCACTATGTTGTTTCCAAAGGTTATTTATTTGGATCTTAATTCTTTTAAATGTCAGTGTGTATGACAGTTCATGTATATTATACATCATTAAAGATTTCTATTTTTATAACATTTTCACTGTATAATTAATTTCTTTGATCATTTTAAAGATGAAATCATTTTAAAAGGTTTCTTATAAAATTCTATCAGAAAAAGTGGGCATTTGTTATGCAACTTTTAGTGCTGGTCATCTTGCTTCTCATAGCCTTTGTCCTAAAATGACCTCACCATTCTCCAGTGACCTGTTGTAGTATATGATGTAAGTTGATTATTGTTTTTATTTGAATCATTGAAAAAAACGATTTAGATCCTGAATTTTGTATCAAGAGTATTCAGAATGTAATGAATGAATGATTTTCTTTTAATAATTTAAATAAGGTTGTTGCCTTATGTAAAGAATTTTTCATAATTTGTTGATTTAGAAATCATTGTTTTCAGTGAGTGTTTTAGAAGCAAAGTCAGCTGTATTGCCAAATGAATATATAAAAATCCATTCAATGGAATTTATATTTTGAAAAAATAAGCAAACTAATTGTTTGCTATTGAAGAAAATGTTCCAGATTATTTTAATTAAAATGTGCATATCCAAGAAAAAAAAATCATGGTAAAAATTCATGTGAAAACATTTTCTTGACAGTCCCTTTACCAAGCCATTGTTTTGTTTGCTTATTTATTTTTTTTATGAAAATGTATTCTTGTACCAGGAATTATATTTACAATCAGAATGAAATTTATAATATGATTAATGTCTAATTCAGATTTTAAAACCTCTAGCCATGTTCAAATTCTAGTTAAGTGGTGCTTTCACTTTGACACAAATGCTCTTGAAGAAGGCATGACTCCATTTCTTCTCTCTGCTTTAGGTTAAATAGCAGGGTAGACTGAGTTATCTTGTCTTACGTGGCAAACAGTTGGGGAGATGGACTATTCTAAATTCAAAAGTATAGAAAAATCAGCAAACTACTACCACTCCACCTTCTCCTAAGAAATCATGTCAATTCACAGATAGTAAAGAAATGGAATCTGTGGAGAACCATGATTGCCTATATTCTGAAAGGTCTTTTTTTTTTTTTTTTTAATCATTTCACCCCAAACAAGGCAATAAAGCCACTAAAACACAAGGGGTTACAGAATGTGATAAAATATATGAAAAGGAGAAACATTATTAAGGAGCAAAAACTATAAAAGACAGAAGACATTGCATTTAATTTTTTGAAGATCAAACTTGACTTGAAAATAAGATGCTGGAAGAGAGTTCCATAAGTGAGAAGTACAAAAAAAAACAACATAGAACTTACGGTTACAACTAGTCATTTCAACTGTAAAATGATGAGATCTTGCTGCCAATCTAGTACTGTACCTAATTCATAAAGTTTAGCTACATTTGAGGAAAGTTCATCAGAATAATTACCATGAAAGTATTTATAGAAAAGCCACAAGGAATCTTCATTATGGTGGTGGGAAAGTCACTGAAGCTGAGATGCTATTCAAAACCAATAACATTGCAGATTCTTCTTTGGATTCTTTAAATATATAGCAGGATCACCAGACCAGATGTGGCAGCAATATTCAAAGCATATATTAATGGTAGACTTATACATATGTAAGATAGATTCTGGCAAGAAAAATTGTCCAGCACCACACAGTGAACAACTTTCCTAGCAGCAGACCTAGCAATTCCTTCAAAATAATCTTTCCACTTCATGTCAGTGGAAATCATTAGCCTGAGATGGTGCAATGAATCACTCTTGTGGTGGTTAGCATCAGCCATATGATAGAAAACAGAAAGGGTTCCCTCAGATTATTAATAGAGAGTAGTTTTGTTTTGGAGGCGTTAAAATTAACAAGTTATTCCTTGTCCCAGTTAACAGATTGTATGTCATTTTTGAGATCATCTGCCATTTTGACCTTATTGAATTGATTAAACTTAGTAATGTTAAAAAAAAGAAAAAATAGTGCAATCAAGTTCAACAGACATTTTATTTTTAAAATATTGATATTGGCTATTTTTTAGAATGTACAATTATTTAGAGATATTTACTAATGTTAGCAAAATCTGACCTGAGGCCAACAGTGTAGAAAACCTCATGAAAATTGAAATCATTACACTATAGTAATGAGACTAGCTTGTTAACCGCAATATCATGGAGAGGGTCCCTGTTCAAGAAAGTTGGATTTACAAAGCTATGAAAGCATTTTTTCATTGTCAAAAGACAAAATGTTTGTTCTCACTGTTGTATCTTTTCCATTTTCTACAACACAACTGAGTAAATTTTATTGGATCATCTATTGTTTTACATTAAAACATACTAATTTCTTTTATATGTATTTTCAAAACCATTTGAAATTATGAAAACAATAATTATAATTTTGAGCTAGCAATTCTCTCATCTTAATTTCACTTGCTTTTTATTACAACTTTTCAGATTGTTATTCTATGGTGACATAAAAAAGAATAAGTCTTTGTTGAGACATGCACTCACCTTTTTTTTCCTCAGGAAGACTGTCTTAGTGTGACACACATCAAAGTGACTAACATAAATAAACTGATAGAAAGACTAGTTTCTGGATATTTTGAGTATGTTGGTTATTTCTCACTTCATATTATTTTGATTATTCTAAAGAAATGTCTTAATATTGTCATTATCAGCTGCATCTAAATGGTTTACCTGACTGGAGTGTTGTTCCGCAAGAAATATCCTACATGAAATTTCACTAACTACTTTTGATCTGTTCAGTTATTCATGCTATCTTTTTCTTTAGACATAAATTTATTTATTTATTTACATTTGTTGAGCTTCATTTTTTCTTTTATTGGAATAAAAATGCCTATGCCAAAAATGTTGCTTATTTTCTTTCATCTTCAGTGTTAGAATTACTAAACAAAAATATGTGAATTTTGACAATTTAAAAACAATATACATGATGAACACTATCTCAATAGGTACTACTTAAATATACTGGTCCACTTGTAAAAAATAGATAAAAAATTGGGGGGAAATAATTTTTGTAGATTACTATTCTTTAGACCTTACTTAGGCCAAGATGCCTGTAAAAATTGAAAAATATAGATTTTTTTTAATAATTTTAGAATTTGGGGGTGGAGGCTGTTCATAATATTGATATAGTGTAAAGTGGATTCCCGACTTTTACATAATTATTGGACTTAGGCTAGGTTGCTTTTAAGTTTGAAACTACTAACATTGATATTTGCATATTCTTTTTTTATTTTTCTGAATTTTTTAACTTTTTAAAAACTTTAGTATTAGATTTTTTTAAGCACGTTTTGAGGTTAACTGTTTATCTTAAATAAAGAATAAATGGATACAATTTTATTATGTAAATTTTTGCTCTTTAATTAAAAATCTACATATCCATTTGTTTTCCATTTAAAATCTATCTTTTTGTATCCCACCCCCATCTGTTTTGGTATGTAAAATAGCTAGGTCAATAACTCTGTAAAAGTTAGGGTTTGATTCAACACTGTATTATAAATAGGAAGCCCCTTCTAACATCAATGTTGTTTTTTTTATTCTGACACCTCTCACAGCCCATAGAAAGTTTAAAGAATGCTAATCAACAAGAATTATTCCCCCCCCTTCCAAATTTTCTCTCTCTTTTTTTTTTTTTTTTTTTACAAGTGGATCACTCTATTTAAGTAGTCCTCATTTTTGTTTTTGTTTTTTTAAAACAAAGATATTTACATTTTAATTAAAGAACAGATTTTTCCCAAAAGGTACAAAAAATGCAAAAATACTCTGACAAAAATTGCTTCTCTTCCATAGGAGCAAGTCTTTCAGCTATTTCTGAAGAATAGTTAATATTAAAGTGGGAGTGTGAATTTTCAAATTTACATAAATTAATAAAAGTATAAATCCAATTATTCTTCATTTAAGGTAAGTAATTAGTATATGCCAATCTTTAAAAACAAATATAAAATAAACTATTAACGATTCTGAAATATTAAAAAAAGAAAAAGTACTGTACACAGATATCAATGAAATAAGCACAGTTTCAATTGTGACATTTGTAAACCAAACTGCTCATTTCCCATAAGTCTTCAAAGTCAGAGATCGATTTTACTCTGTATTTCTATTATGAACAGGATCCCCACCTTCTAAATCGATAACTAATCAATATTTTTTATTCTGACAAGGGAGGTCTAAAGAATGCTGATAAAAAAAATTATCTCAAGTTTTCTTTATTTTTTTGATTGAACAAGTTTATTGTAGTGCCCATAATTGATATCTGCATATTTTTTAATTTTATTTATTTGTTTTACCTTTTATTTAAGCTGTTTTTATTTTATTTTATTTTTTTTGTATGGGATTTTTTTGAAAATACATGTAGAAACATTTGAGGTTCATAATTATGTATCTTAAAGGAAGAATAAACAGATACATAATTTTATTAATTTATTTAAATTTCTGTTCTTTAATTTAAAACTGCCTATCTGTTCTTTATCTATTTGTACCCCCCACCACAAAACTGTTTTGATTCACAAAACAGCTAAGTTCAATAACTTTGTCACTAAATAGAACCCCATTTGTAAATCAAGAGTAAAATATTTTTTATTCTAGCAAATGTCACATGCAAAAGATTTCTAAAGAATGTTAATTTTAAAAAAAAATACCCCCCTCCGCTTTAAAAAAAAAAAAATCCCTGTTTTTATTTTTATAGGCAAGTTCACCGCCATCAATTCATCACAGGAAAGTTCACCGCCATCAAATTACTGCGAGGAAGATTCACCGTGAGAAAGGTTTGCGCGGAAACTTCCCCGTATAAACTTCATTTTCATTAGATTTTAATTTTAAAATTTATTTGAGTCTAGAAATTTCCATAATAGCTAAACGGGTTGAAAGAAGAAATAAAAACCAAACCCAAACTAAAAAGTAAAAACCAACCAAAGTTTTTCGAGGGAGGTATGACGTCATTACACTTACTACGGGAGGCGCGACATCGCTTTTTGATAGTTCATGTCAGTTTCACCAATCCATAGCCGTATGCTGTTTACTTTCATTTCATCATAACCCTTAAAAAAATGGAATTTACTTACATTGAAACGGAAAAACGAAAGAAAAAACTGTGTGTTGGTGATCATTTATTTTACAAGGAGAGACAAATGAATGCCAAAACTTTTTGGAAATGTGAGATGTATCAAAAAACTAAATGTCGTGCACGGATTCATGTGGTTGATGACAAAATAATTAATGTTTTGAATGAGCATAATCATACCGGTGATGCACGAAAAGATGAAGTTAAAAACATTTGTGAAAACATTCGTACGCAAACGGACGAAACTACACATTCTCCTAATGTTGTTCGTCTTACTCTTAAGGAATATAGTCGGACTACTGCAGCAGGTAAATTTCCAAGTATTGATAACCTAAAAAGAATAATGCTAAATTAGACAGAAATAATGTTATTGTTAGGCCAGCGCTGTTACAGATGGGGAAGCATCTGGTAAAGGACATAGGAAAGCCTATGTTACTTCTGCTGGGCGAATTCAAAAACTCGTACTAAATTACAATGAAGATGATAAATAATTGTATCCCTTACTACCTGACAGTGATAGAGCATAATATCAGTTAGAAACCCAAAAAATTTTATTTTAATTATTAAAATTTAATAAATTAATTAAAAAATGCATAATGTCAGTTATTATTATTTATGTTTTTTTTAACCTTTTTTATAAATAGATTCGTTGATCAATAAAATTAGAACCCATTCATTAAAAATTGTTCAATTTCCTTTTACGCGATGAACTTTCCTGCGGTGAACTTAACTTACTGAACACGATTTTTTTGAGTGGACTAGTCTGTTTTTACTAGTTAGTCATGCCAAATGATGTTTTTAGCAGTTTCAAATTTAACATTTGTAAATAACAGCTAGTGATTTAGAAGGCCAATAATTCAGTGAACAAAAAAGTTAGGGATCAAATCGATCGATAACAAATAAATATTTTATTTTTCGTTTTTGACAAATGCCGCAGCCTAAAAAAGGTTTACTTTAAAGTTTAAACCTCTAAAAAAAATAAAAAATAAAAAAAAGAATCCTAATGTACAAAAATTATCCCCGACCCTCAATTTTCATATTTTTTATGAGTGGACCAGTTTATTTAAGTAGTGACCAACATCTTCTTTTATGATTAAAATTAGGGGTGGTAAAGTTCCAAAATGAATTTAAACATAAAACAAAAAGGAAACTATTATTTACAATTACATTCATTAATTACAAAAATCCGAACCGGCAACGCTTATCAATAAATTTATTTTCTAATTTTCCTTTATTGTTTAATGTTTATAATTTATTCTTTTATGAAATAATACGTTTTTTTTTCTTTTGACTAGATTACTTGACAGAACAGATTAGTCAGGCACAAGACCATCATAGTGGGGCATTTGGTCTGGATTTTATTTTTAGTTGACAAACTTGGAAATTAACAACGCTACGGCCTTCCATTTGCTTATTAATGCGCTACCTACAGCAGACGTCCTATGTATGTTTCATATTTTGAAAATATTTTTCGATGACTTTTTTTTTTTAAATTCTTTTTTGTGAAGTCCGAGTACTGCATGGAGCAAGTTGTTCATAAATTATTCAAGTGACAATTTTTTTATGCAAAAATATAAAAACATAAATGTTATTATTTTATAATTTAAGTTAATGACAAAAATATGTAAATTCATTTTTTTTTTAATTTGGAAGATGGTGTTTTTCCTAAAGGTCTTCAGACGCTATTTTAATGATGCGTGTCACGTGAGCAGCCTCGTTTCGGTTGTTATTTAACGCCTTCCATACTTTTCCCTTTATCCATTTGTTTTGCAAGTGCCTCAGTATTGATTAATATTTGTTACATTTTAGTACTGTTCACAGTACGTTATGCTAATCTCCTGTATCGTCAAGGGCTGTTCTTCTGTTAAAAGCCCCGATAACCCTCATGTATTATTTCATCGCCTTCCTTGGAACAATATTCAACTACGGACAGAATGGGTAAAATTGGCTGGTTATAATCCTTACGATGCCGATGATGTGAAACACATAACCAAAGACCACCGTATTTGTAGTTTGCATTTCGCTTACAGAAAGCGAGGAATAAACAGGCAGATGTTACCTGTACCAACTCTTAATCTACCTCAAGGTAAAATTCATAATTATGGTGAGAATGCAATGCAGTGATAAAAATCCTGCAATATAAACTGTATGTGTTTGTGAATGATTACAACACTTCGGTGTAACCATATTTAATTAAAGCAACATGTGCGTTTGAAGAAAATGCCGAGAATGTTTTGAATTCTAGATCAAAATTATTTTGTAAACGTCTTAGATTTTGCAGAGCATAAAATAAAGTAGAATTTTCAAAAGATTTATAACTTACACGTGTTAAACTATAATATTATTTATAAACTGATGTTCATTTCTTTGTGTTCGGTGTTAAAACAAATACTGACTGAGTTGTCTCCCCTGAATTGGAAGTTTTCCTATAGATTCGTTTCAGCTGTTTTGTTTATAAATCCACAAGTATGAGAGCACTCAGTAATAATGGTTAACTCGTTAACAAGACTAGCTCCACGCCAAGGCGCACTTATTTACTAGTTTTAGAATTTGGTACAAGACCACAATTATCAAACACTCACACAAAGACCATCTCGCTATTTACTCCACGCCGAGGCACCCTCAAAAAAAGTTAAGCTTATCTTTTTAGTTTGACACGTACAAGGCTGCAAGTTTTAGGTACTCCGTGGGTATTGAACTGACTATTCAGTAGTAATAGTCAATCATATTACTATTAGCGGACTTATCATTACCTCAGGTTAAAGCGCCTTTTAAAGAAAACAGTCATTGGTGCTGTTCAGTTAAGTAAATCCTCGATTATCCGAATATGAAATGAAGAGAAACTATTTCATCTGGTTATTTTTTTTTTTTTAATTTATCCAAACTAAACTTCTATTTCATCTCCAACAAGTGATTTGCTTTTGAGAATTAAAAAAAAACAAACAAAAAAAAAACAGGCTCATCATCAAAGTTGTTTCGAATTGAAGGCACACTGTAAATTTGTAGTGTGATTTCTTATCTTCAGCAACTTTGTAGCTGATTTCTTATCAGTCCTTTCCAAACCTCTCTGTTTTGTGCTAAATAACAAAAGACTTAAAGTTCCAACCAAACTATTCGAAGTTTTTACGAGGAATGATAGAATTTTATTGATAATTAATTAATTCTTATATTGTCGCTGTTTAATTTTTCTGGTGTTTGCAAGAAGAGTTTTTTTTTTATTGTTCTGTTACTTTCCTTGTTTGGCTGCCGGGTCATGTTATTTGACAACTGTATTTGGGCTGCAATCCCTCTTTTTATATACGTTTCATTAAGAATTAAATAAAAAGTTTAATAATATTGTAGTAGAGTACCTTATCAGTCGTCTTTAACGTGTATGTGTGTATTGGCTGCTCAAGTCAAAAACTAGCAAATAAGTAAGACTTTCAAGAATATTTTATTTTTCAGTTGTGAATGAGAAAAGGATAAAATCTATTTCTGATGGACATCAAGCAAACAATATGGTAAGTGATTTTTGAAAATTTAATCACGAAGATAGTAATTCAAAACTGGTGCTGCATAGCATACTGTTATTCATTTAGTATTGTTGCGGGCGTTACATACGTCGTTTGTTTGAGTTGAGAAATAACATGTGTCTCCTGAAATAAGCCACAACAAACGATCGGACTTCCACGTGAGTTCGAGTGTAATACAATACAAAGAAACAAGAAGAACTATGTACAAACGAATAATGTATTTACAAGAAAAAGGTATACAAGTGACAAAAACAACGATGTGTGTTATAAAAGAACGTGAAAACTTTTTTGGTTTAAAGGATGTACATGTCCGTACGTACGTACTTGTGTTGTTTGTTTCATGCGTTTCCCAATATGGAACTCGTTTTCCCGCGAGAGACTTACAGTATATAGTTTTAAAACTGATCTAATGTAAATTTGGTTACTTTTTACAGCAAGTTAGTGATAGGAGTTAACTATACACAAGGTCCTCGGGTTACGTCGAACCCAACGTACAGCGTTTCTCGGTTACGGTGCCATAAATTTATTAAGGAAGTCTTGTAAATGTCATTCCCACGTACTGCGTTTGCGATGTTAAAACAAAGTTCGCGCGGGAACTAGTTGACGGGCGGAGCAGACGAATACGTCGTCACGCCGCGCTTTATGAGGAAGACGGCGGTGTTTCTTCACCGGCTGTACGCCATATTGGATTGTTACATTCGCTAGCTCGTTTGTGTTGTTTTTTGGGGGGAACCTTTTGCCCTTCATTATGACTCCCAGGCGTAAGGCAGACTCTTCTGATGGCAGTGCTTCGAAGAAAAGGAAAGCCATCTTCATGGAAGTAAAAGTCGATATAATTAAACGTTCGGAAAAGGGCGAAACGCCGACGAACATCGGCCGGTTGTTAGGCCTAAGTCGTACGACAGTCTCGACGATCATCAGCAATAAAAAGCGTATACTTGAACATGTGAAAGGATCTGCTCCCATGAAATCAACTGTGATTACAAAGCAGCGTAGTGGTCTCATTATTGAGATGGAACGTTTATTATTGCTTTGGCTGGAAGAACAGCATCAACGGCGTGTCCCAGTGAGCCTTATGTCGATTCAGGAGAAGGCTAAGAGCTTTTTCGAGTCCTTGAAAAGAGAAAAAGGTGAAGGGAGTGAAAATGAAGAGTTTGCGGCTAGTAAAGGTTGGTTTATGCGGTTTAAGGCTCGTGCCAATTTGCATAACCTTAACGAGAGGCCCGCAGCAGTACCTTCTACTTCATATGCCACTAAAAAGGTAAGGAATTGTTTTTTTTTTTTTTTTACTGTATCACAGGAGTAAGGTATTTCCCCTTGTATGTACCGTGTGTTTCTAATTTTTTTTTTTTTTTTTTTATTTATTTACGGTTTGCCATAAGGTCAGGAATTGTTACAGTTATCCTTCTTTTTTTTTTTCGTTGTTGTTGACTGTTTCACTTCATTACTGCTGTGTTTTTTGCTCCGTGTTTTTATTAACCACAGGAGTAAAGGTCAGAAATTGTTTTCTTTTGTTATTTATTTTTTTACTGTTTCACTTTCATAACCGTACTCTACTAGGGTACTGTGTATGTGCTCCATGTGAGTGACGTCGATACTTATGTAGGTGAGTTCCGACCTACGTCGAAAATCAGGAACGGATCTCCGACATAGGTCGAGGACCCCATATATATGTGCATGTTTTATATGCAGATATTGCACACCAGTATGCTTCCTCAGTGATATCTATTCAGGGGTAATAGATAGTTTTTTTGGCCTTAATGACATCAGACTTCTCATAAGCTCAACTAAGATTGCTCATTTCTCAACTAGCATTCTGTTATAGCTTCAGCATGATTGCAAGAATTGTAAACAATATTTGTGGCTACGCAAATGAGATCCTTTTATTCAATCCAGTGTAGGAATTCTAACCAATCTGGATTTGATGATTTTTTTTCTTTTGACGATAAACAAAAGTTCATAAATCTTTTGAACTTTTAATTATTGTTACTTTATTTTTTAATACTCCTAACAAAAATCCACTTTCATTTAAATGCGTTAAACTACAATAATTTACTAGTTGATACATTTTGTTAGGCTTTATATATATATATACACACACACACACACACACACACACACACACTATAGGCCAAGGTTTGTGTCCACCCTCTGGAATTAGTAAGTTTCATGCCTTTGTTTTAATTAACTCCTACTAATCTAAAATGCTGAAACTAAGCCATTAGTGCATGGTACCCAATTAAAATTTAAAATCCACCAGCCCTAAGATTACCATTAGCCAACTAAGTACATTAAGCAAAAAAAAAAAAAAACCTACAATTTTAACTTAAGGAAACTAATGGATTAATTTTGTTTATTTATTATTGAATAATTAGTAAAACCCATCAAAAAGAGAAAGTACCTCTGACCTGCAATGAGTTTGTAAATGAGTTTTGAAAAAGGCTTGCAAGCTTCAATTTTTTGGTGATTTTTTTTTTTTTTTCAAAATTCAAATGGAATTTTGGAAAACCAATTGGATGTTTAAAAGTTTAATTCTGTTGTCAATGTTTTGCTCTATAATGACATCATCAGAACAATTTAAAAAAATCTAAAGGAAACTTTGTTACCATAGCAACCTTGCTAATTAGAAAAACTGTGCTAAATTTTGAAAATCTATAACAGTTAATAAATTAAAATATTTTAACATATTCTTGTATATAAATTTTATTGCTTTGTTCAGATACTTATTTTTAAATTTTATGAAATGTTAATTTTTTTTTTTTTTTTTACAACCATGGCAACTTAAAGTTCCTTCTGATGATATTCTTATAGAATAAAATATTAGCAATAGAATAAAAATTGTAGAACATCCAATTGGTTTTTATAAATTGAATTTATTATATATATATATATATATATATATATATATATATATATATAGGGAATTTGAATCCCATCAGCCCCATAGTCTATAAGATGCTCATTATCACCTTCATACCCTACACCAGTGCCTGTTGTCTGATTCAGACATAACTGCTGGGCCACACTTCAAACCATGTTGCTTTTGTGACAAACAGTTTAGGAAATGGACAAATCTTAATTCAAAACTGTACAGAAAACAATGAGTAACCACCCAATAGCAGTTCACAGGTAATGGTGAGATTAACCGTTTCCATACAGGAAACATTCAGCCTTTATTGACTGAGCAGTTAGCATTCCTGTCAGTTGAAATTTATAAAATCTTACTCTTAAGAGTTTTTGAGAAAAATATATTTTTCGAGTCCACTGTTAACACTCTTTCTAGTATTGGTGGAAGTTTCTGTACTAACCTTTTGTTTAAGGTAGTGTGTAAAGTCAATATTTTGATTATATTATTTTCCTTTGAGTTACACGTGTATCCATTTTAGTTCTTGCTGCTGTTGGAAGTATTCAAATGATGTGGTTTTTAATATTTGAGAAATTTATAGTGGCACTCTATAAGATCTGTGTTATATTCCGTGCTAAGGGAATAAATACTTAACACCAGGTGGATAATAGAAGAAAGGTTTATTGTACACAACCAGTACAATATGAAATATGGTACAGTTGTACACACAGGTCAATCTAGTAGTGAGTGCCACTAATTGGAAGGTCGGACCTGCTTGCCTCTTCTCTCTCTCACTCTTACTCGAGTCTCTTGTAGACAGTTGACTTTATAGGTACTTACTACCTATAGTGTAATCATTCATGGGGGTGACTGGTTATTCCATTATATCAATCTGATAGAGGGTTGTCTTCTTTAAGACCTAGAGGATTCATTTGTTTGAGGCTGTTTTTAATACTTGATCTGAGAAAACAGTTGTATATAGCTTGTTAAGTTCTATTCTATGGACAATATTTGTTAACCCACATAGGGATTGAAGTATTATCCTCTTGCTTATAAAAACTAATGCTTTGTTGGATTAACCTACTTTGGCTACTGATTCAAATGGGTTGGCTTGTCAGTTGCCTGGTAAATTCTTGTCAGAGTAATTCAGGAATGAATAGACTTTCTGCCGCCTGGATAATATCCCTAAAATAATTTAACATAGCTGATATTTTATACATTCTTTACAACCATGACATTCATATGAAGATATAGATCTGAATAATATTCTGGTTTTGTAGCATCTTGCTGTGTTGCAGCATGATGCAACTGACCATTCCTAATTCTAAATTGAACATGCTTCTTAATCCTATAATACTATTTCGATGACATGCATCTATTGTAAATAATGTTGATTTAAAAGACTGTTTTTCTTGTCTTCTTCAAAATAACTAATTTTCAACATGTTTATTATTCATGCTATGCTTATCTTTTGTACTAACCATGAAATTATAAAGCTTCAGGGGTGTGAAAGTTTGAGGAAGGAGAATATAAACAGAGTTATGCAAACATAGTTTTTTTTCCCTGCAACAGATTTTTTTAACAGGAGAAAATGAAAGGCACCGAAGACAGTAGGAGGTGGGTATTTATTAGGTAAAAGTTGGAATTTAGGTGCATTGTGGCAGAATGGCTAGGGGAATAAATGGGTATGAAAAAGGAAGCTCTGACAGTCTAATAATTAGTCATGTGGTTGAAGAAAATGGAGAGAGGAGTGGATGCATGGAACAAGAGGAAGTAAGCAAATAGAAGAATACAAGGTACATCATGTTTATCTTGTTTTGTTCTTATTGTTATATACTGTGTATTGTTGCAAGAATAATAACTGAAAACAATGTATTGCTGGGGAGGTAGAAAGAAAAGGAAACAAGATATATTGAAATAAAATTGTCTGTATTGCCAATATATACATTGAATCAAGGTAGAATTGTAGATGAGGAACGTGATGGTTGTGGGCAAAGAAGTCTGATCTTCAAGATTGGTGAGATGGTTGTGCACTAACCTTGTATTGAAGCTTACATCAGATTGGTTCACCAAGAAACTGTTGTGAACTGCTTGGAGGGTCATTGAGTGAGTCAGGATGGATACATAGAATTTTTGTCATGTTTTTGAGAAGCTAATACAAAGTTTAGTAACAATGTTTTTTTGTTTTTTTAAATGTAACCCAATTCACTTGTAGCCTAATCTGGCAACTCTAAGACATTAATTTGTTAATGCGTACTGATAAAAAAATATCTGCATTCTGTAGTTTTCATAATTTTTACATTCATTGACCTTCTAAATTAACAGTTATGTTTGTGATACATTAGTTTCACTTGGCATCAGTACCAGTAAAGAAAAGGTTTTGGATGGCAACCATTTTGTTTTTACTTTAACAGAGAGACAATACAAAATCTTCTGAAAATCCATTTTGTATACATCAACAAAATTGACAAGGAAAACTGAAATCAATTATTGCCAGATGACAATAAAAGTGCTTATGAACTGACATTTCTATATGCTGTTGTGAACTGCTTTGAGGGTTACCAAGCAGGTTCTTTTAATCAGTCATTGTGGATACAAGACTCAGCATTTTTGTCATGTTTTTGCAATACTCATGATTGGCTCTGATGTTTAAATTTTTTTGGGGGTGGGTGGGGTTGTTTTGTGAACTGGATGTGATGCTTGTCGCTGCACAGAGCAACATTTTTATTTTTAATTTTGCTTTCATAGCATTCACATCCAGCTGAGAGGGTCTGATGTGTAGTGAATCAGATAGGGGTCTAATTTTTAGTAGAGTATAACATTCTTTTTTGCCAAACACAAGGTGATGTCCTGAACCTTACAACTCTAGAAAAAAAAGATATAAATTTGAATGAAAGGTTATGTGTCTATTTTTTTTTTTTTAGTTCCTTTTCTTTTTTTTTTTTATCCCTTTTTTTATTGCCTAAAAAGAAGGGTGGTTGACTTGGAAATTACAGGAACAAGAGTGAGAATTGAGTAACTTGATTTTTTTTTTTTTTTTTTTTTTTTTTTTCTATCTTGTTCAAATAACAGCCTTTTATATGGTATCAGATGAACATCCCCTCCCTGGACAATTGCCCCATTAAAAGAAAATTAAGAGGAAGCACAACATGAGGTGGGGAATAAATACTAATAAAACTAATTGGGGTTTTATTTTCATGTTTTATCTGTTATCCAATCCAATAAGATTTATATTCTTATATCACTATAATTATACCACTAAAATTGTGAATTGTGAGCTATGCACAAATACAATAATTACTAATTACATAATTAATAACTGTCTGGTTAAAATAATGTCTATAAAAATATAATTAATAATTACAATAATCAATTCTTACATTTCATGTTATCCAATAAGAGTTATTTTTATGGCTTTTAGAAATTTATCTTTGTTATTGAAGTAAAAGCAAAAGTTTTTAAAAATTTGCCATTTCCATTGTCTTATGGGCCAATTGTCCAGAGGACAGTTGTCCTATAACTCTTTTATATATGTGGATAAAATATTCGTGAAATCTTAAGAGCCCTGATTAGTTTCATAGTTTATTTGTTCCTTTTAGTCATTGTTCCAGTGCATTACTTCAGTTAAAACATTTCTGATGCCATAGTTTTGTTGAATAATTTCCTTTTTTTTTTCCAGGCAGTCAGCAATTAAGTGACTCTACATACAGGTATATATTATTGTAGACTAGTTTCTTTGTTTCTATTTGATTTTAGAGCAGACAAAGGAGCCAGCAGACCAACACTGGCAATATCTCAGCATCCTTAAGAAAACCTGTTAACAGAAGGCCTTATACTTCTCAGCAAGAATCCTCATGCTATGAAGATGATATTGGACAATCAGTAAAAAAAGCAAAGAAAGAATTCAACTCCAACAGGTCAGTTATGACTTCCCTTTATAAAATATATATTTTTAATTTGTATTCAATGTATCAAAAAAATCCCAAAAAACAAAAACTTATATCAAATAAATTACTGGATAGCAACATAAAATGAAATCAATTTTGATCCAAGTACAGTTGGACTTGTGATCCCACCTCCTAGAAACCTATTTTTTAAGGTATGAACAGCACAAAGATGAACAATTGATCATATCTAGAAAATTATATATATATATATATATATATATATATATATATATATATATACACTAGCATGCAGAAGTTTTTGACCAACTGCATTAAAGGATTATATACTTTTTATTTTATTAAATTTAGACTTTTTAGCAGTATGCTTTTATCAGTAGTGTCTGTGGACCTTGTGTATTGGAAAATAAGTTGTGGTGTTTTTGTAGGTGCTATAACAAGATACACCACTTTAAGTATATTGGTGCTGAAAAAAGGCTATGCAAAACTATTAGGCCAATGTAAGACATGAGATGATAGTCATGGTAATATACAAATTTTTAAAAAGGAATTGTTCCATCTTATTAACATGAGTGTAAGGTGCATTAGTAAGTCATTAGCTTGCCTTTTTATGCTAAAATCATGGCTAAAACTTTTGCTGAAACAAACCAAAGGTGTCATTTTGAAGGGGAAGATAGCTCGAAGACATTTTCCAGAAACAGTGTTCAAACCAGCCAAAAGATGTTTACTACTACTGGAAGTGTTTTAAGTGCAAAGAAAACTGGAAGGCCACAAAATTAGACAAGTGATATGAAAGAAAGATTGTGGAGGTCTCTGTAGGCAATCCAAACTTAACAGTCAGAGAAGTGAAGACGAATGCAGTCTTAACAGTGAGGTAAAATTGATACAGTAGGCAGAGTATTACAAGAAATCTTGAATGAGCATATAACATCAAAAACCATCATTAACCCCCCCAAAAAAAAAAAAAAAATTAGAATAGAAAATTTTGAGTAACAGTAATGAGTGTTTCTAAAAAAAAAAACAAATGAAGGTATTAGTTTTTTTACTTAAAAGATTATATTATATATATATATTGATACAAAATCATATTTTAAACACTATTAATTGAAAATTAATAACTGCCATTTTTAAACAATATGATTTATCAGTAACTCTTTTTTTTCAAGTAATTTTATTGATGTCTAATTTACTTTTTGCATAGGCAAAAATAAAATAATGATGGAATAAAAAAAATTTGCTAACTTGTTAATATTGTGCAAAAAAACTAGTGAAGTTAATGCATTTGAGACTTTTGACAATACCTAAAGTTAAGGGAGTTAACTCTTCCAGAATATAACCATCCTATGTCCCAGTACATTGAGCTATGTTCTGCAAGAGATCGTTTGTGGTCCCGTGAGAAACTGTGATAAATAGGCTAATGCATCTTTGAGTAATTTTTGTTTAATTTTATATTTTACTATATACATACAACATATTGTTGGAAAATCCTTGGTTATTACAACAAAGTCTTCAACCCCTTATATTAAAATTATAATAATCATAGGGAATGTATTTTACAATGTCTGTAGGGCATCAGTGTGAAACCACCATCTTTGGTTGGTGGACAGGACATGTATGTAGCACCTTCATGTATCATTGAGTGACTCCCTTGAGTACAAGACACATGCTTGGTGTCCACATATTGTGAACTGTAATAAAAATATAAAAGTGATATTAATAATAGTATATAATAATTTTTATGTAGGGGTTCCCTAAGACATGAAAACTGTTTTAAGGGTTCCACAAGAGTAAAAAGGTTGAGAAATGCTAACATAGAGTATTAATATATTTGTAGTCAGGCCAGTTTACAGATTGTTGAATTTACTTCCATTTGCAGATAGCAGTAAACAGCATAGAGTAAAATATCATACAAATGACATTAACTAGATATTGGCAATATCTTAGCATAGGCAAGTCTGTTAGCAGAAAACATCATGGATGCCTAGCATATTTTCTCTAGCATTCCAGTTGAGTATGACTTGGATTCAAAAACTTTGGAAAGTTAATTACTTGAAATATTCTATAATTTTTTCTCTTGTGGCATATAATGAAAGATAGTTTTATTGTTGAATAGTAGTAGTTATTGTCTGATAACAATTTAAAATTTTTATTCACATTTCTGATACTTTACAAATTAATACTTGAAAACTATTGAATAACATTCTTTTCAGCTTTAATTGATAGTTTTTACATCATGTGTGACATGTGAGATTGTTTGTATATTAGTATGAAGGACAAGAAATGACAGAGATTGATTATTTTACCAAAACCTACATAACAAAGACTGAAAATTGTTAATCAAAATTCTGTAAGATCAATTCACATAATGAAGGAAAAGGATAATGATTTACTTACATAATTGTTTTGGCATCAAGGAATTATTATAACCCTACATGATACTTGTTTATAAAGTATCCTTTCTCTTTTTTAATAAGGGATTAGATTTTTGATTTTTAATATCAAATTTATCAAATAAAGACTATGGAAAATGAGGGTGGATTAATAAGGTTAACAATGTTAATATGGAATTAGCTAGCTGATTTTCATTTTTTTTAATCATATCACCTAAGGAATGCCATTAAGATGCAAGGGGTTGCTAAGTGAAAGAATGAGAAAAAGCAAGCATTAAGGAGAGAGAACAATAAAAGAACAGAAATTAAGAAGCCAGAAGATAACAATTGACACTGCATTTAAATTTTGATGATCAAAGTAGACTGGAAAGCATGGAGCCAGAAGAGTTCCACAAGCAAGAAGTGTGAGAGAAGAAACTGCTAACATAGAACTTATGGAATTCCTTAATTTGTATTCACTTTTCACTAATGTCTTTTGGAAAGGCATGGCACCATCTCTTCTTTCCTGTCCCAAAGCTATAGTTTAACTATCAGGGAAGACTGAAACCTCTTACCTTGGTTGATAGCTCTGTCTGAATTGAAAACTGTAGAGAAGGTAAAGGAAAACTACTTCACTACCTTCCCTCAAAAACAATCATAGCAATACACAGTTTACAGATATAAAAGGAAGCTGTGGAGAGCTATGATCGCTTACTTCTTAAACAGACATGCACTTGAGGACTAATGTAGGTATTATGAATGTTTTCCAGTGATAAATCTTGACGTAAGAATAATTGTTATTACTGGAAAAATAGTAACTGCTTGCAGTTACAATATGGTTGTAATTTTTCTTTCCTTCAAATGCTGTAATAATAATGCTTGCATGTAATATAACCATGTGGCTGAGTGGTTACAATAATAGCATTCTAATTATGAAACCCTGCTTCAAATCCCAGCATGGCTGATTTGTCAAGGAGGTGACTTCTTGATAATATTGGCCTGGGAGATGATCCCAGGGTGTGGCACTTTTGGGATGTGCCTGAAAACTACACCATGGATTGACCCGAATCTTGTGAGTGAAATTGGGTAGATAAGTATTCAGAAGCCATCGATATTTGTACCAGCACAAAGTCATAAGACATGGTAACCAGGGGTTTGAGTATACAGGCTTTAAAATATTGATCATTTCAGATTATCCATTCTCTCCCAGAAACTGTAACTAAGATCTGCTCAGTATAGTATTGCAATATAAACCACAAGTTGGCTCTGTGAGTTTTGAGGAAACACAAATGTGCCTGAGCAGATGTCTGCAACAGATTGTCTTACCCTCAGAAATGATAGACATACTCAGAAACAAGCTGCCAGCCATAATTATATGGGATGGAGATGAGAAATTACTGATTGGAATATGTGATATGTGATTGATTTACATGTTTTCAAATAGCTTCTTTTTTTTTTTTTTTTTTTTTTTTTGCAGTGATGTTCTGGAAGAGGATTCATCCATTGCACAGTCACAACTGCTCAATTCAGCCAAACCAACAGAATGTCCTCTCAAGCCAGCTTCTGCCCAGACACCATTTGCTACTTTCAGCTATAACACTCCTGTTTCCCATGCTGTTCCCAACAAACAGAGGTGTATCTTGATTGTATCAAATCATCAGCAATCAGTCATGACGAGCCTGTCATCTTTGTGGAAGGCTGGGAAATTGTGTGATGCCATTATTAGTAATGGTACAGAAAATGTCAAGGTAAATGTATTTTAGGCATAAAACTGGTAATGTATAACTATATTTTATCTAAAGAATTTTAGTTATTTAGATTTTTTCTTTCTTTTGGCATTGACACTTGAATTTCTGAGAAGTAGAATTCTAACTTGTCATAAGCTAGATAGAAATATCTTGAAAAAAAGTTATAATATTAATAGGAGTAGATTTTCTTTTAATCTTTCAAATTTTCTCCTTCTGTAATGATCTTTTTCAGAACGTCACAATTAAACATTAGTTTTCTGTTCATTTTTTAAGCCTACCCTGAGATTTTCTCCTTTTAGTCAATTTAGAATTTTTGTAATTCATCCAATGATTTTGATATTAGTAAAATGTAGTCAGCAAGTTGTAGCTGCTATCCTTACCCCATTTAATTTTATGGAAAATACATTCAAAGCTTATTGTAAATAATTTACAATTTAATTGTATAACCTTGTTTCATTTATTTTCCAATCTTTATCTTTGTGTACTTGAAGTATTGGAGTACTGTTATCTCTCTCTCTTTATATATATATATATATATATATATATATATATATATTTTCAATAAATTTTATTAATATCCTCCTCTTTTAGTGAGTTACAGATTGTTACTTACTGCCATTTCATAATCAACAAAACTTTTTTTTAGTTTGTATTTTTGAGAACACTTTGTGTATGTAATAGAGCAGTAATTTCTCTTTATTATTTCCATTTTTTTATAAAATAGGATTAATTTTCCTAGACTGAATTTTTTAAATACATTTCTGCAATTTTCAAAAGGCTTGTTACTATGCCAATTATGCCAACTGAGGCTTTTCTGTATTACACATCTTGAAGCACAAAGTAGATTTCACTATTTACATTATTCAGACTATTGTCCTCATCTTTGTCGCCATATTTATTACGTTTTTTGAGGACACATGGCACAGTGAATAAAGGTGTTAGTTAGATCCAGTAACAGGACCCAAAGAGTGTGAGTTCAATACCTGGCTGTGGTCGTGGAGAATTAGGAGAGGGAATTAAGCAGGAGATAACTGATAACTGACATCCATTAGACATGGAACTAGATCAGTCTACCCTAGTGAGTGAAATAAAGGGTTCAGTTCGACATTCCAACCACCTGAAGAAGGCTGGAGCATACAATGGCCGAAACATAATAAATACGGCGACAAAGATTAGAACAGTGGTCTGAATAATGTAAATAGTGTACATAATACCTCATCTCATAAATATAGACAGATACTAAAGCAGATTTCATCTGTTGTTATCCCAAGAATATCACTAGCATTTGATCACTTCACCATTTTTGTCTTTTAATCCACGTAGCTACTGTTTATCTATGTGAGCTTTCTCTTTTCTGATGGCTTCTTCTCTTTCTGATTTCACCTTTTATTGTGTTTCAGTTTTTATTGATTAGTTTTTTTTAATCTGCTCTTTTAAATTTTATTCCTCTTTGTATTTATAACCATTTTCTCCTTTTTAGTTCATAAGTTTCAGTGTTGACTTTCATTATTTCTCTTTATCTCAATTTCCATTTTTTTCCCTTTTATTTGCATTACTTCTTTAATTATTGCTGTCAATTTTCTCTTCATATTTTTGATATGTTTATTATTCAATAAAGGCCAAAATCTAATCTTGATTTCTATCTGAAATTTGCAGATGTTTTCTCTGAACTTATTAAGACATGTTTCCTATTTGAGAATTTGTTTTCAAATTTTAGAGGCAAATTTGATGGATCTTTCTATGATCACTTCCTATATTAAGTTTAATGGTGATAGCCTTGTGAGCAATTATGTAATCAATTTCTGGCAAAGTATAACTTTTATACCCAACAAAAATGGTGTATCAAAAGGATGGTTTTTCCCTTGTCACTACTATTATTGTAAACTCCCTTCACTCCCTTGATAATGTTTAAAAATGTTTTAAAAAGTGATGATTAGAATTTTAATAAAGCCTAAACATATGAAAATGAATTTGTACATTTTCTTTGTTCTTGAGAATTGATAACAAAAATATTAAACACTATTTGTTTATTTAATAATTTTATATTTCTTTATAAAATGATAAATGTTGCATTGTACTTGGTTTATATTTTATTTTTATTTCTAATCATTTCACCCCATGTAAGGCAATAAAGACACAAGGGGGTTACTAAGTGTTAGAGAACATGAGAAAAAAAGACACTATTAAGGAGAGAACGATAAAAGAACATGAATTAAGACAGGAGATAAACGATTGATATTGTATTTAAATTTTTGAAGATAAAAGTTGACTTGTAAATAAATATTGCCAAGGAAGTTATAGTCATATATAGTAATAGAGGTGTCAACAGAGAAAACGTCCTTTTCAAACACTTTTTTTTTCTTTTGTGGACCCAAAGGTTAAACTTTGCCCAATTTCTTTTATTCTTCCCAGTTTGGGTTTTTCTAAGTCCATTTGTTTTTTTTTTTTTTTTTTTTTTTACTGTATTCATAATTGTTATTCTATATCTCACTGAGAAATTAATATTTTACCTCTCATTTCTCTTCCAAATTTTCATCCATTATGTTCTCCCTTTATTGTTGCCACTACTTTTATATTGAATCATTGAGGTTAGCCATTACAATACACTGATTGGTTTTCTCTCTATCCATAAAATCATTGATGTTGCTGTAAAGCTTTTCAATTTCTTCATCTAAACTTTTTGAAATTGATGCATACACTTAAATTATTCTTTGGGTGTATTTTTGCATAATCTGATTACTATCCTAGTTACTCTGTATTATATACTGTTGAAACTTTCTACATTGCCCACAATGTCTATGTTGTCTAAAAATCCTACACCATGAAACCTATTATTCTCCTTTCTCTGATAAGTTAGATGCTTGCTTACTTTCAGCCTAAAGAAATTTCCTTCTTTCCTGTGAGTCTCACAAGTGTCTATCATATGCCAAGTGTTGTTTAGTTCTATTATTAGTTGGTCCAGTTTACAATCGTCAGTCTTGCTTTGAACGTTGTATGCATATATCTTTGCTCTTGATTCTGTTTAATACCCAAGTTTTTGTTTTGCTTAGACTGTTTTCTTGTTGCACACTGTCTGCAGACACATGAGGCAATGCAGCTGGACCTTTTGTTTTGCAAAGATTAGACAGTGACATCATGGTATATATTTAATTTTATTGTCAATTTTGATCTCAGAATGTTGTGGCTAATTGAACCAAAATATTGCCACTAATTTCAAGTGAGCTGAGCTTGATGGATTGGTTGCCACTGATTTCAAATCAGGATCCTCTCAGAGAGACAAGATACAACACAAAAAACAAGACTTTCATTAAAAATTTCAGAAAATATTGTATATTTTAAGGACCATATATGTATAGAGAGATAAAGTTTGTGCTTATCTGATGGTAGCCACATGACTTGTCAGAGAACTGTCCCTGGACATATGCTTCGCTTGGACTTCAAAAATGAAGAGAAAGAAAATTTGATTTTTGTTTCTATTGGTGGCAAAATGCCTGTTCTGATGCATGATAGTAGTTTTCAATATTTATTTAACTATTTTTTATAATGTAACTTTTTCTTTCTTTATTGTTAATTATCATTCTTATCTATATTTTAAAGTAATTTTATTACTTATTATTTTGGTTTCATACTCTTACATAGTCTAGTACTAAGGGTTAGAGGCTATTTATGGATTTATTTGATGTTATCACTACAGATGAATTCTCCTGTAAAAAATTCTGTAAATTCTAAGTTTTTATTGAACAATCTGCACAAGTGAATTGTTTAAAGTGGTCAACTCTCTATGCCCTGCAATAGACACTCTCTCCATCATAGCACTATGTCCTGTACTGGTACACTGTGCCACATGTCAGATGATGCTACAATCACAAGCTATTTTTGATAGGAGTTTTCCTTTTCCTAGCTGCATGCTGGCTGTTGGCTCCAATTTTTCCAATCTTTGACAACCCTCTCTGTTTGAATTCAGTTTTCCTTCTCCTAGGCTGGTTGCCAACCAAGGCTGTAAGGCCCCAGTCTGTGTAGAGATGGATTTATAATTTTTCCAAGAGTATTTGCATGTAAACGAATTTAACTCTACTGGAATTCAAATTTGGCTCTCCGGTTTTGCAATCCAATTAATTATTCTTTACACCACTCACACATCCAAGCTTACAGCCTGGTGAGTAATTTACATATATATATACATATATATATAGATAGTAAGGGTTTTGTAATCAGTAGGGTGTATTTGGATTACCATCAGAAAGTTCTTGATATTAAGTCTAAGCAGCCTTCTCACTGTAAGCAGAAGGAATGGCTACTAAGTCTAAATATAATCTGTTTGATTTTTACTGCTGATTCTCTGCTAGTATTTCTTTTCTCCCCTTTTCACTCATTGTGCACATATATGTCCTCAATTTGCACTAAAGTGCACGAACCACTGATTAGGGCTTTTTTTTTTTTTATTATATTTTTGATTTTCCACTTTACAATGAGTAATTATTTTTTTTCTTATCTTTGCTGTCCTCCCCAACTTTGTTTTATATATTTTTTCTATATATTTACAGATACTTTTAAAATGTCTGTTTTTAAAAACCCTAATAAAATTATGTACCCCTCCCCATATATATATATATATATATATATATATATATATATATATATATATATATATATATAAAACAAACAGGTTTGATTAAATACAACTGGCAAAATCTATCTGTTTAAATTTTTTTTCAATTTTCACATAATATTGGGATTGAAATTGTGGATAAACTCTGAAGTTCATGTTTGCTCTGTTATTTTGTTAAAGTACTTTTGACTGTTTCAGTCATTTTCAAGAACCTTACAGTGTCTATTTGGTATGCAAGATTATGTTGGTTACATCCTGATATTCTTTAGAAAGCTGAAAGTTCAAAATAGTCCATGGTGAAATCTTATGTAATAGTTATGGGGAACAAGATCACACCAAAAAGAATTCTATGCATATTAAATATTTTATACACACTACAAGGTACTATCTCCTATGGTGAAGAATATTTTATTTAATATGGTTTGTTTATTTTGTATAATAATAGTTTCTAGGATTTTGAGTCTTTCCTTGAAATAGTTGCTGCATAGTATTTTGTTATTATCCACTAATATTTGTTTTATGTTAATTGTTATATTTTGGTTGTTTGTGATGTGCTGGTCAACATGTTCACAATTTACACCTAGTTTTGACAGGTAACAAATCAGCCTACGAGAATGTGGGGCATGTCTGGCCAGTATAAGAATTTAATGCTATGAACTTTGGACAGTTTATCCACAATTTCAATCCTGATATACATCTTATTTGAAAATTGGAAAAATACAATAAAAAAAATTAAACAATCTTGCTTGGATGAATTTTAGGCTGTCTAAAATTCATTTAAACAAATTTTGTTAAATTCAACTGACAGGGTCAGTCATTCATTTTTTTTTATTGTACTTTCCAATTTTCAAATATGATACTGTATATTTAAATCAAAATTGTGGATAAACTTCCCAAAGTTCATGTTTTTCTCTTTCTTTTTTTCAAGTACTTTTGGCTATCACTGTCATATTGACAACATCTAGTTCTTGAAAATGATGGAGACTTTTAAAAGTATTTGAACAAAGGCAGGACAAAACATGAACTTTGAACAGTTTATCAACAATTTTGATTCAGATGTACATCTTATTTGAAAATTGGAAAAGCACAATGAAAAATTAAACAGATTTTATCATTTGAATTTAACAAAATTTATTTAAATACCCATTAACAGAAAATACTTGAAAGTATTTTCTAATATGAGGATTATTTTTTGACCAATTGTTTTAATTTGTTGTTAGAAATTTCTTTGTCTATGCATAATGTCAACTTATAAAAATGCTAAAAAGACAATTTAAAAATTCTCTTTATAGATTCACAAGATGGTTTTGAGTGCGGTGTGTCCAAAAATGCTGAATATTTTTGACAGTGTACCCCAAAACAACCTTCCAAAAGTAACCTTCCCAACAACTTCTAAGGAAGCTCTGATGGCATTTACTGAATACTTGTACAATGGAATCCTTGACCTTGATGCTAAGATTCTTGAACAGCTAAAGACTATTGCTCAGTGTCTTGATATGAATGATTTTGAGCGGCTTTGTGATGATCAATTAAGAATAGCTTCCATTAATGATAACAACAATAGCAAACTTGGTCTTGCACCTGTAGATGTGAAGCAAGAGGTTTGTTCTAATACTGAAGATTTGAATGAGGATGTTGGTAGTGTTGAGGAACATAGTACAAATGCTGAAGAAAATAAAATTCAAATCAAAATAGAACAAGATGATCCTGAAGAACAGAACTATGCAAATGAAGCATTCCATTTTGGTGCAAACAATGATACTTTTTCACAAGACTTTTCCAGCCATGATAGAAGTTTCAGCTTTGGACCCAATTCAGATATACAGCAGAATGTACCATCTTCATGCCTAGCTTTGAACTTTTCTTCCAAACAGTCATCAACTCCCTTGCCAACATCAGTATATCAAAATGTGTATGAACCTGTGACAAGACCTGTAGGTTACATTACACCTACATCTGAACAGAAACTGATCACCAAAGAAATGGTTAATATGATTAGTACAACACCACACAGCAATCTGTCAGTTAATGATAATAATTCAATATTAAAATTACAGGAATTACCTGTGATAACTGTGAAAAAGGAGTATAATACTTAGCATATACCAGTGCATTCTTGTGGCATTAGGGGACACTTTCACAGTTGCACATGGTATAAAAGAATAGTTTCATTTGGGAAAGGGGTTTAGGGACACTTCACAATCAGACAGTAATGTCATAAAAGAAAATGGACACTTTTTCTTTCTTTCTTTTTTTTTTTTTTTCTTTTTCTTTTTTTTCTTCTTTTTTTTTTTTTTCTTTTCTTTTTTTTTCTTTTTTTTCTTTTTTTCTTTTTTTCTTTTTTTTTTTTGAAAACAGACTTTTCAGGCTTATTTGTTCTAAAATTGTGTATTTTTTCTAATATTTTTATTAAAAAATTGTTTAAATTGTCAATTTTTTAAATAATTATATTAGATAAAAAGGTTTAATTAAAAGGTTGTTATCTTTAAAAAAAAAAAAATAAAGGAACATTTTAAAATTGGGCTGATATTTAAATTAGAATTATATGCAAAAAATGTAATATTTCTTTAAAAAAAAGGCATCATTAGCACTCCATTTTAAAATGATTTTACTGATTGAATTTACTGGTATTATTAATCTGGTACTTAAACAAAAGATATCATTATTCTATAGTATACTCTATTACTATATGATGAGTTTGAATATTGAAAAATATTAAAAAAGAGATGGTGATTACCAAATGATGACAGCTGTAGATTTTTGTTTCTTGTGCACTAGATGAATGAAAAAGTAAGATTGTGCTCTGGTTTTAATATGCTATATCTAGCTGTATATTTCAATCTTAATCTGAAAAAGTGAGAAATATATTGGAGAGAAAACATACTATCAAGTTTATATTGTATACAAACTCAAATATTCTTTTCTGTGCGTATACACTTCTCTTGACAATGATTAATCATAGTAGCAATTGTTTTCTATTTCATATATAAACCTGGTAGACTATTGAATAGATTACTTAGTACAAGTCTTACCTCTTTCTCTCATCTTTTGTTAGGGGTACATTTTAAACTCATTCTTTCTATACAATATCAAATTTTATTACCTTTTTTTTTTTTTTTTTTTCTCCCATGATAAAATTGGTATTGGCCAACAAATGTTGGTAAAATATTCAGGATATATTTATATGATAAATATGTTGTGACTTTCTGCTTATATTTTTATTAGAAATATTTACACTCATTTGTGAAATTTACTTTATGCCAGTTGAAGGTTGTTTGTTATATTTTGAGTAAATATATTAATATAGCTTTAAAAACCAACATTTTAAAAGCTGTATTTAATAGGGAAGCAAAGAAAAAAATATCAGCATAAATCTGGTAAAAGAAAACAAAAGAAAATTCCAAAAAAAGCTAACTGGTGTCATTCCTCATAGTTCTAATCTAGGAATAAAAAGGTGTTCAGAACAATTAAAATATACATAGTTAAATTTAAAAAAACAAAGGAGGTTGAACCTCTACCTGATTTTTGAGCCCTATTTGCCCTATTTTGCAATATATACCGTAGATAATGGCTTGAAAAGAACCTAAAAAAACTTATACTAATTTATGCCAATGATTTCATAAGAGATTTCGGGTAATTTGCTTTTTAAGCCCCACACTAAGTATCTAATAAAAATTTCCTGAATTGTTATTTTTTATTCTAAATTTACATGCCTAATTCGAAAATAACAAAGAAATTTTTAGAAAATCTATTGTTTTGAAGTTATCGACAATAAAAGTTCACTCATTCGTGTCGTCGTTGGCTACAGCATGGCAGCCATTATTGGCATTGTTTGCATCAGTGTGTGTGCAATAATCGAGACAAGTCAATGTCTATTCCAAAGCAAATTGTGTGAAATGTCCAAGGTTTTAAAATTTCGCAAAATTTGGGCTGTTTGATCTTCAAAATCAAAGTAAAGTGTTTTTTAAAGACGTGGGGTGTGATATTAAAACAAATTAGGATCTATCTGATGATTGCTGTTTGTTCTGTCTATTTTGAGGATGGCCCAGAAATTGGTAAATAGGGTGTAATTTCTTTATTGAGGGTATGAGAGCAAAATCTTGAGGTCTACCATCCACCCGCAGTACACCAGGTACTGCAGTAAACTGTTTGGCCTAATAATGGTGGACTACTGTAATTATGTACATTCAGAAAATGTTAGAAGGCTGACAATTGAAAATTGATTTTATTCAGTAGTATTTTTTAGTAATGAATATAAAGCTATAATGAATGAACCTGATGGCTGGGTGAGAATTTGGGTCCTTCATGAAAATATTCTACCAACATGACTTAGAAGTTGGTAGGTTGAGTAATGTTTTGAGCTTGTATTGTTTGCAGGAAACTTCAAAGTTTATAATGGTTCAAGATAAATATGCAGAGAATTATGGTATTTACTTGAACAAAACATTGCCAAAAAAGGTTTCAATATCATTGAATTAATAGAATGACTCCTAGTTTGTAGTTCATCATTCAAAGAGATGTATATGAGAATGTTCAAAGTCAAAACAATAAAAAAAAAAGTTCACAAAAATCAGTAGTAGGAAGACTAATGGAGTTTATAGAATGTCAAGTAGCTGATATTAACATGTAAAATAATGAAATAATATTTTATTTATGTATATGAGATATTGAGTTAATCAAACGAATGTGGTCTATATCGTTTGGATTCATATATTCTATATAAACAAGAAGTTTTATGTTGCACTTTGCCTAATAAGAACTGACACCCACACGTGTTATTATCACTATTTTTAATAAGGATAGATATCATAAGCTGAAAGTCACATGATATATTCCTTGTATAAGTATATCCTGTAAATTTTATCAATATCATTTGGTTAATAACCAATTTGATTGTGAAAACATTGACTTGCATAATAAAATCTGACATAGTGTAAATATGCAGAATGAATTAAGTCTGAAAAGTCTATTAAAAAAGAGTTTTACAAGAGACTTTTGAGATTGGAATTTAATCAATTTTTAATCAGATTTCAAGTTTAATGGATGTGCAAAAATGACATTTCTAGGTTAAATAAAATAAAAGTTACACCCAATTATTTTTATTTGTAAAATCAATTTTGATTTTGCAGTATAGTAGAAAAATAAACACAAGTGATAAATCTATTTTCTGGAGTTAAAACAAATATTCTCAACTTGTGGGAAGAAATTAAAGATTTGGAGCTTTGTGATTGAATTATTTAAATTTCTGTTAACTTTTTTTTTTTCCACCTGTATTCATACCAATTGTCTTTCTTATTTCATTAACAATTCACTGAAAACATAAAAACTATCATTTACTTCCTATTGTAAAAACTATCTATTGTAAAAAATTTTCATTTGAACAAACTAAAAAAATATTTTTGATACTTTTTGTAGAAAGCAAGTATTAATCATTTTCATATTATTTATAATGGACCAAAAAGACTGATTTTATCACTTCATTTGGACATTGTAACACAGACTCATGTAAACATAATTGGAAATAAATTTTTCATTCTTTACAGTTTATTCTGTATTGCCATAATCTCATTGTTCTTTCTTTATTGTGAATTTTTAGAAACTAGGAACTTTTAGTAAATATAAATGCAATCTATAAATTTGATGATAGTGTTCACATGTATCTCAAACACCCTTATGATGTGCTGGGTAGCTTTATCAGTGATGTTTATTCTTGGTGTTATTGACCTCTAAAAATATCAGACACATTATCCCAGCTGACTCAATCAGGATCGATCACCTAGTCAGCTTCTCACTCTCTGTTTGGTTGAATTAACAAAATTTGGCTTTTGCTTATATAGGTTTGAATATTTTGGAATTTAGTCAATGAAAATCAGCTTTACAGTTACTGTGATCTTTATCTGCCTATTTTATGTTATTGAATTTTTCCTGCCAATTTTTTTTTTCTTAATTGGCCAGTTAAGTTACTTAGGCTTTTGATTTGTTTACATATTAGATATTTCTTAAATTTTCACTGTTTACATTATTCAGACTATTGTCCTCATCTTTATTGCCATGTTTATCACAATGTTTTGGCCATTGTATGCTCCGGCCTTCTTCAGGTGGTTGGAATGTCGAACTGAACCCTTTATTTCGCTCACTGGGGTAGACTGTTCTAGTTCCACATGCCATGTCTAATGGATGTCAGTTATCTCCTGTTCGACATTCCAACCACCTGAAGAAGGCCAGAGCATACAACTGCCGAAATGTAATACACATGGCGACAATGATGAGGACAATAGTCTGAATAATGTAAATTGTGTACATAATACCTCATCTCAGAAATATAGACAGATTCTTAAATTTTGTATTATGTATAAATAAAAAATGATTAATA